ACATAATTACATGTCATAATCATCCTCTGGAGGAATATAATAATTATCATCGGAATCCAATCAGAATGTTCTGGAAATTACTCAATGATGAGAAGGAGAAAGCACCTTTTGAAAAATATTTTATATCATATTCATCATCATCATCATCATATTTCTCTCAAGTAGATGAATGGAAGTGTGTTTTTCTTCACTATATAGTCAATCTTGGGTGGCATGTTTTTACACGCCTCGGTGTTTTTATCAGGTGCATTCATATCTATCTACATGGTATCATCTGTACAATACCTCGTATACCTCGTGGTGGAAAATGTGGGGCTCAATGTGGAGCAAACTTTTCATTGTTGATGTTATGCAAGAGACCATTGTGTCGTTTAGATCAAAGTTTCTGACGTTTTGCCTTTTGAAAATTTGCTGGCTCTTTGTTGACACTTTCTCTATTGACATCTGCTGAGTACTGAGGACTCTCATGGTACGGGCAACTGTTGATTATTGTATTAATGCATTTCTGCGGATTGTGTTTGCGCGCCTGCTCCGAGGGCGTCAACGCCCTTTACTTGTTCTATTTATCGGTAAATTCTGTATTGCCAATTGGCTCTTTCAGGGGATTTCTGGAATCTCCAGGAAATTCCGAGGAAGTGACGATTATTCCCATTACGCAGATCTTCCATTCATTTTCTGTAAAACGATAATTAAACTGGAAAAAAATTTTTCTTCCAAATATGTTTTATATATTTTCAACGAAATTTGTTTTTGGATTTGAATTTTATGACAATATTTTTTTTTTCGAGGCCAGTTTTTAACGAAAAACTCGGAATTGAAAGAACGTATTGAATTTTTAGGATAAACTGTTTTTTTAGAAGAAGATAGACTCTACAAGAAAGTTGTGGGTGAAGATATCGTTATTTTCCCTCAATTTCGAAAAATCGGCAAAAACTGGCTTTTAAAAAAATGCACTTACCCTCGCTTACCAATTCGCTACAGAATTATGTAAATTAGAACAGAATAAATAAATAATAAAAATGTACATTGAATATTCAATTTAAATTGAATACATAATATATAAACTATATATTATAAATTTAACAGAAAAATGGAAAATTATAAAAAAACGTTTGTTTAAGCCGAAACCTGCGCTCCTTTTTTTGGTTGTGTAATTCCATTTGATATTTTTAAAAAATTGTTTTTCTAAAAACAATTCCATGCCTCTTTTTCTTTCACCGCATACCATAGAATGCGCGGCAATACCTAGTTTTTTAAAAATCCAGGGATGGAGATTAATGAAAATATTAATTTAGTGGCACGTAATCTTGTGGGAAAGCAAAGACTAGCGATGGAGGGCTGGAGGCACTTTTTTAGCACTTGGCTAAAGGATTGAAGGGTCGGGGAGGGAAAAGGGGTTCGAGTGTGTGGCACTAATGCACGATTATTTGGATAACAATGAATAAAGGGGTCGGTTTTTTTTTTTCAGTGAAAACCCCCGTTAGAGTTAAGTGGCTCACGTGGTAATGTCAAGAGTGGAGTCGAAAGAGAACGAGTGAAAAGGCGTTAGGGAGAGTAGAGGCCTCTTTTTTTTTTCTCTCCATTATTTCCCCTAGGGTAACACGAGACTACTAGAATAACCATGCGTAAAATTATGTTGTATATATCCCAGAGACACAGTGACTTGCTTTGTGTGGGTGTTTCAGGTTGCGACATATGGATTATACTTTTCTTTTTACTAAAATGTCAGGCGACTGTATTTACGACCCTAAGAAACTTTGACATTTATTTTTACAGCTCACTTGAGATTTATTGTGTCTCAATATTCATTTCAAATATTTTTATCAAACACTCAAAAAACTGTGGTATTCCCACAACATTTTTTAATTCAAAAAATATTTGAAATATATATGTATAATATTATATATATTATATTGTGTGTTTTATGAAAATGTTTTATGAAATATTAATCAATAAATATATTATTTGATTGAAAAGAAAATGATAAGCTAAAGATAGTCACAATGTAGACGAAATTGATTTAGAAGAAGAAAATTATGTTATTATAGGTTTCTGGTTATTGATTTATTAATTTAAACAATTTAAATCCCTTGAGATGATTGTGATAAATATTTTTTAACATAAAAGAACAAGTTCTGAGCGCCATGTGGCATTTCGCTGTCAGCTAGACAAAGTAATTGAATTTTTATTGAATATGGAAGAAAGGTTCAAGAGAAAATTGCTAAAGCTCCATAATTGATTTTTTCTGATGGTTTATTTATGGTTTTTCTTCTTCTGCACGGGAGAATAAAAAAAAACGTGATGCTCTTCTTTGATCTTCCTCCTTGTAGACTTAGGTATATTTTTTCTTCATTGATCTTCCAATAATGAGGGGAATTCATATTTTATTTTCAAGGTTTACTGACATCCCACGAATGCTGGAGAAATGCCCCAGCGTGAGAGCCAATCGCACCGATAAAGGGATGAATAAAAAAGGGTTAAAAAATTGTTGAAAGAGTATTTCAGTTTGAGCGAACACGAGACGACCGTAGGGTGAAGGAGCAGAAAAAAAGGGAAAAAAAGGGGAGAAAAAGAGAAAGAAAGTGTCTGCTCAACGATTATACATGGAACGTCGGCGTGCCACCGTCGGTGCCGACATCCGACATTATCGCTCAACAATTTCAAGCTTTTAACGAAGAATTTGTCAATAATTTTTTATTTAAAAGTCTCGAGTCATCATGTCGATGACCGGTAGTCTGATGGGTTACGAGAACAACAACGATGTCAATCAGTTAAAATGCAAAAAACCACTGAAAACACTGCCTACGGTGGCTAACACCAATTCGGCAACTGTTGCACCAGTCACGTCAGCAACTACGGCAACAACTACAACGATCAGTAATTCCATTGGTGGTAAATCTAAACAATACTCAAAGACTGAGAGGAGGAGGGAATCATGCAATCGTGGTCATGCCAATGGATTATGGTCGGTTTGGTATGGAATTCTTGCTGTTACGCTTCAGGCGTATGTGGCCACCAGATGTGCTAAAAGATTCGTCGGTGAGTCAACATTTTTCCATAATTTTTCATAAATTTGAATTGCAGAGTATTCAGAGCGCGGGATTTATTTCAATGGAATAAAAGCCTTTATTCGTTTTTTTTTGTTGTTTAAGAATATTTTCTAAAATGAATGAAATGCTGCAAGAGAATCAACTTTATTATATCAAATAGATAATTTATTAATAATTAATGATAATCATAATTGAGTATTTTGGACAGAAAGTTTTCTTATTTTTATTGCGGAATGGAAAACTGGGATAAGTGCGTTCTTTCGAGGGCAATTTTCAGGGAATATCTCGGATTAGAAGGGCGTGACGAGATTTTGGTTAATACATTTTTTGTAGATCAATATGAGAGCTACAAAAAAGGTATTTATGCAAATATAATTATTTTCCTCCAATTACGAGATATTCGCGAAAAACTGGCCTTGAAAAAGTGCACTTATGCAAATATTTCGCTTCACCACAGATTCCAATTTAAATAAATAAATAAATAAATAATTTTCGTAATACAAGGGAAATGCTTTTCATCTATTGACAACATTTATTTCATTTTTTAAAAAAGGCATTCATAATTCAAGCATGTTAATTTCACGAAATCAGAATTTCAAATCGAGAAAGTTACACGGAGAGAAAAATCCAATAAAAATGATGAGAAAAATAATTCCGCGTTTTAGATTACGTGAATAGTTCCATAATTCTCACTGAATATCTCTCTCCGTGTGATTTAAATGAACTTCATTCGATAAAAATAAACAACTTTTTGGATGTGCAATAGATTCTCCTCGTAAACTGAAAATATTTCAATATTCTCCTCGTAAAACCGATGGGATTCAACGCCCGCACGCTCTTGAAGTTTATAAATGCGTGAAGCAAAGTATTTCGGGAAACGCGGTGCCTTATTTTTACCACTGGTGTTTAAAACTCCGCCAGTACGAGTTAATTTCCAATGCCCATCGGTAAATCCGATAAATGGAATAATTGCCTCGTTGAAGTCTGGGGTATAAATTTGAAATTGATTGAGTGAATAATTCCACAGCGTATTTATCGTTACCATGGCCAGCGGAAGTTCAGCCGCCAAAAATTGAGTTGCACGCTTGCATAGTCCTGACAGGAACGGGTGTTCTTCTTCTGCCAATTCTGGTAGCCGCAGCTTTTCTGAAGCTCGGCAATCTTGCAAATGATGGTGTCAAACTTGGAAGACACAGCAGCACCTGCACCCGAGACCCACCATCTTCACTGCTGTCAGATGGACCGGATGGAACTGGTAAAAATCCAAAATTAGATGTCCAACGAGACCTCGTATGACAGGCTTTTACACATTTTTTTTATTAATCTACAGTCTTTATTTATTTACACTTGTTTATCAGGCTTGGCGAGTAATTTATGGAAGCACGGTGGTCCAACCGCGGCCTTCGTTCATCTCTGCACAGCCATGTGCTTTCTTTTGCCCTCCTTGCTCATGGAAGCCAGGCTCATACACGCTGGATTTTTGCCAAAAGGTAAAACAGTCATTGACCGATACTATACCCTTGACGCGTCGAAATTTTCACCTTTTCTATTTCATTCGTCAATCCGGCGGAGAGAAAAATCCACGAAAAATCACGCGAAAGTCATTCGATATTAATTATCTTTGTCTCATAAATATATTAAAAAAGAATGAAAATGCTGAATTTTTTAATGCACGGTTTCTTGGCTCTTTCTTCCTCATTATTTAATTAATTTACTCATTAATTTTTGGAGTCGTGCATCTATTTTTCTGAAATTTTTGCAAAAGTCTTGGGAATTTCTGCAAAAGTTTATTGAAAACGTAGGAAAATTCGTGAGACAGTGAACAATAATGAAACTTAAAATGGATATATTTTTTCATGTCCATTTTATCAACCGTTTCTCAGAAATTTGTAAAAAAAACTTGAGAAATTATAAAATATCGGCACACCCTCGTGATTTGGAATGATAATTTTTTGTATTGTTTCAAATGAGAATGGAAGTCTTCCCGCGTCGAACTAGACTAGTTAAACCTGATTATCTCAGCTAGGAGTTTATCCTGGTTTTGGTTCTGGTTTTTTTAAGGCCCGGATGGACTGTCTGGAAAAGATAATTTACTCCAAAATTGGGACTTCTAATTACTCCGTCAATTAATCGGTTTTTCCGATAATTGTTAGCTAGCGGCCTAGTTGTTGACAACCGCTAGAACGCTAGCTAACAATTATTGAAAAAAACGATTAATTGCCAAAGTAATTAGGAATCCAAATTTCGGAGTAAATTATCTTTTCTAGATAATCCACCCGAGCCTTAAAAAGAAAAGAGCTCTTCTTGAGGAGCGATGTGAATTTCAAATTGAGTTCCATCTAGGGGAGATATTTTATTAATAAATTCATAACTCAGGTGATTGATAATGTGGCGTGGTCTTCCGATTTCTTACAAAAATATTTGATTGGTTTTTCCAGATGCAATTTGGCGAACAGATCTCGATTTCGTAGTGGTACACCGAGACCGATTGGTTTTTCTAAGTTTCATGAATCCCCCTGGTAATTTAACGAGTCTGACAAACATTCAATCACACACAACGACCTCAACACCGTACGATCAATTGGACGATCTATCGTGGAGTTCTGGTACACCGAATTTTAATGGAATGGAGTCTCTAGCCCACGAGACACTCCCACCAATCACCAATACTCCTGGGACACAATCCAATTCACAATTTCCAATCACATTTCCATCGTCAGACGTAACCGAACAAAAAGAGACCGATAATCCAACTGATTTACCTAATTTTACCGTATCATCGGGCAAAATAACGGATTCAATATTAACAGTTTCACCGACCAAGTTGATTAAATCTCCCAGTGCGACACCGGGTCCATTTAGCGTTGCAAAGCGAGCTAATAATGGGAAAATTCTCGGGAGTAAGGGAAATGGAAAAGCCAGGGTGAAAACAAAAAAATCTGGAGGTAGACCGAGCACTACTACCACTGTGGAATCGCAGAGAGATAATATGACTGGCTATTCGTTGCCACTGGAGATGAAAAGTATAGCGGACCTCGACCATCCGGAGCATCTCAATGTGGATATTAACGAAGGTAAACCTCATTAAAACCAGCGATCATTCTCATTTATTACTCGGCCCACCACTTTCCTCTATTTTTTCTATTTTCACAAACCACTGCCCATTAATTCTCTGTTTTCAACTTCAATTTCATATAAATTTAAATCCATTACAATGAATTTTCTCCAAAAATAATTTTCAAATGAAAAAATAAATAATACTCTATACACAACTAAATATCGATTAATCTCGAGAACTATTGGTTTTACAAATAAATATGAAAAAACCTTTTTTGCGAGAAATTTAATGAGCTACAAAAAAGTCCTCTAATATTTTCGCATTGGATCAACAGTACTCGCGGTAAATTGCTAATTAAGAAAGCTGTTTAATTGGATTTAACTCACTGAAGTGTTTGGATTGAGCAGATGTTGATTACCGATCAATGGGACATGCAATGAGCCTCGAGTACTTGAATTACGCCATGGCACTGGGTGTCTATTCGGTGCGTTATCCCGCTGTCTTCTGGTCCTGCAATAAGGTCCTGGGGACGATATTCTCGATTCAACTGGTCGTCAATTCAGCTCAGAGTTTAATGGCTTATGCCGGCATGTCCATTCTCTATAAAGTACAAGTCGTTGGACCGCACAAAGTTCTGCCTCTGATGAGACATAGAACAGTACATCCAACTGCTGTTCCATCGAGCGGTGCCCAGAGAGTCATATCAAACTTATTCGGTGACAATAGTCATTTTCTCCTGAATCCACACGTCACACTCGCTCTGTTTGCCCTGTCTTCATTGTTGGTATTGTGCTCCAGCATGGTGACCTATCTCTACGCCTACGGAAGGTAAATTCATTATCAATTTATCCCGTCCACCGCATCCCGACGGTGAATAAAAAAAATTATACTTGTGCAAATTTTCGTTCTTAAACAATGAATTCAAGGTAAATATCTCCGAACCTAAGGGAGATATCGAAATTTTTGTCTAAATCTTTTATGCAGAACTAATCAAGCTGTACAAACAATGTTATTACAAAAAATTCACTAGCTCCCTTACTTGCGGTGATATTCCCGAAGTAAGAAAGAAATTCGTGTTAAAGAGATAAGCTAACGTCTTAATTACTTGACTAGAGATTTACCCTCTGTGTGACAATGTGGTGTGAATATTATCATGAAGGAACATCAGGTAATTAAGACTCATGAATGGATTATAGATTTTCATCGTTTGTGGAGCAGGAGCGGGAGAGGCGGGTGATAATGTCGAAGGAAACACGTAGAAATGGCTCTGGCTGGACATATTTTACACATTGCGCTGCATTGTGTGTCTTCCTGGCAATAGCAATTTGCAATGCTCCACTACTTTACGATTATACGGTTGTGTACCGTGGTAGTCTCGATGGTGCAATATTGGCGTGTATACTCAGTACAGTTGTGCATCTGATACTCTGGCTGGTTTTATGGTTCTTCCTCACAATCAAAAGAAATTGGGTATTCAAGGTGCGAGTGACAATAGCAAGGGCCACTGTCAGATCATCGAGATCAGTGAAGCTCGTTACGGATGTTGATTTATTGGCGTGTAGAACCAAGAACGATAATGAGGATGATGATGACGATGAGGAGCCTGATATTGATCAGGAGGGGGTTGGCACCCCTTTGCTGGTCGTTGGAGATGGAAAAACTTACAGCATCGCTGAGGCCTCTCCCAAGAGGGCTATAATGACTGTTATTCAGAGGGCAGTTATGGAGCGCAAGGCGAGGAGAAATCAAGGTTTGAGTCAGATATTTTATCATCTCCAAGGATTCATAAATAAATGCGCCGTGTCAGAAACGCTTCCCTTTTCACGCGTCTCCGATAATTCTAAATTTCCTATCTCAGTAAGTTGGTATATTGTGTAATTTAAAAACTCATTTAATCAATTAAACAATCTTCAACAACATAAGTGAGTCATGCAATTTGAAAATGTAATTTTCATGTTTTACGGGAATTTCAAATTTCGTTCAGGATTTCTATAGATCCAGCGAATTCAAGCAAATTAATAGGAATATTTATAGATTATGTTAAAAAACATTTTTGAATGCCTCGTTGCATCAGTGCATCAATGCATCAGTGCATCTGATTTAATTGCATTCTTATAGAGTTGAAAAATATGAAAAAAACGTAAATAATGCAAAAATATTGTTAATAATACCCCGCGCTGAGTTATAACAACTACCAATTCTAGAAAACTTATTAGAATAATTATTTTTATCTCAACAACAACGTTAACAAACAAAAGCCCTACTCTCTTCACTATCATATCATTTATCTGGTGGAATAAAATTATTGACTAGAATTGAATACAAAGAGTTAAAAATCTCGTTACATAATGAACCAAAGTAAACAGTCCTTAGAGTAGAGAATTACACTGCTAAAACAACTAAAGCAACTGAAGCAACTCAATTGTTCATATTGATTTATAACTGTCCTTGAAATGTCGTTGGATTTGAAATAATGTGGATCGCGTGACTGCGAAATTTCCAGCTCTAAAGTTAATAATGAGAAAAGGATGTAATGAAACAGGACTTGCTATAGTTTTAGAGTCTAGTTTATGGCTTTTGAAATGGGATATGTGAAGGCAAGGGGTATAAACTGAGAAGTTTAAATTCTGGATATAATCCGGAATAACAGGCGAGAGTTTTCGGAGGCACAGGGGAACGCGATGAGAATAGAAATTGATTGCTTTTGTCGTTCTAGGTGGAAATGTTAATCGAAATGAGGCAGATCCCAGTGCAACCGAGGATGAACAAATCTATTGGCTTCGGCCTAAGCTCAGACCATCACCAGCTCAATCACCTAGTGGGAATGGAGCTGCTGGTACTCTTGATAAAAACTGGCTGAATAAGAAACTCCGACCTAAAGTGACATTTAATGATCTGCCTAGTACGTCTGGCCCTCGGTAACTACTCTACTCTGTCCTTTTGGTGTCGTTTGGCATTTTCCGCACTTCTCTTTTCACATCTTCTCGTCTTTCGATCGCATGATTTTCTTCCATTTCGGTTCTTCCTCTCATCGCTTCATATTATTTCATTAACGAATTGGTAACGAGTAATGAGTCGATTCAGAAGATTTAGTTAATGGTTATGAATTTGCGGAAAATCTCGGAATCCAAGGGAGATAGTTATATTTTTCTAAGAACCTTTTTTATAAAGGGGAATTAACGCTACAGAAAAAGTCTTAACGCGCACTTCGCTATCTCTTTTAGATTCAGAGATATTCCTTGAAAACTCGGGGAAGAAACCAGTCGACTTGTTATTTTGCACTGTTAAAAAATTTCTCTTCGAATTACAAATAAAGATTGTGGAATTTTTTATAAGAATTAATTCACATTGAAATTACAATGACGTGGAATTCTCACATCTCTACATTACAAATTTCTGAAAACGGTGAAAATACGAAGAATTTCCTTTCTGAATTTTCAATTTATGGAAAAATCAATCGAATGTTTAACTTTCGCAATGAGTTTAAAAATCCAAATTATATTGAAAACTCAATTTTACTGAATTCCACGATGAATGACCGATTTGACAAATATTTTATAAAAACATATAATTCAAATTCAAAGTATAAAAAATCCCACTGCATTTGTTATCTGAATGTTGAAAATTTGATAAGAGTGCACCTCTTCGCTACTGATTGCTAGGGGGATTTGGGTTATTCAAGAATGTATTTTTGATTTTAGCAATAAGGGAAAAAGAAGAGGTGCCGAGGGTGGACCAGAGGACGACGGTGATTATGCCACACTACGCGAATTACCGTTGATGACCGCCATCGATACCGCCGATGACTCGACATCCGAGGAAAACAAGGTAAATATTAAAATTCGATAATTAATCCACAATTTTCCAAATCTCCAATTTGAATTCACTTACAACTGAATATCAATGAATTAAAAAAAGAAAAAAAAAACACTGAACCATTTATTTTCGCCCTGCAGTGGAGTAGATGGCTGTTACCCCGTAGGAATCCTCCCAAAACAGCGGATGTAAGAGTAATAAAAATCCAAGAAAATTGAAAAGATTAACAGATTTATCCAACTAATCTGGAGTGACATAGTTTTTTCGATTGTTTGCGTAGAAATTAGATGACGATTCAGAATGAGTAGAATCTAGATGGATTGGAGATTGAAATGTGACTTGAGTATTCTCGAATAATCGTAGCATTTGACGTGAAATATAGAATGACATTTGAATTATTATGTTAACTAACACGCATGAATTCATTCGATTAGCTCCTGGAGTGTGTTAATGATGATCAAGTAACATACTACGCCAATGGCAACCGTGATCTTCAGCCATCGGAGGGAGATCCTTCACCTCTACTAACACCTGAACCTTTACCTGATCCCAATATTGCTCATTTACCCCCGCCAGGGCCATTAAATAATCCACCTATTGCCAGTATTGATGTCGTTGATGATGGTGCTGCTACATCAACCGCTCAAAATCCTACTAACTCTCTTCTTCCTCAGCAGGTAATAATAAAAAATAAACCTGTCATATTGTTTTCTTGTCAATTCTTATCAATCCAATCGAGTGCGTGAGAGTGATTTTTATTCCATTTTCTTTCAAAGCAATCCTTACCTCCACACCTAGTGTGATTTTTAGAAATAAAAACAAAGTATTACATAAAATGTTTTCAAATGTTAAGGATATATTTCAGCATAAGTAATAAATGCGTAATTAATTTTGTTAATAACAAAATTTCATTGTCAGCGAGTTTCTCGCAATCTTGTTAATTTTTTCACTTTCATAGTGTTTGATATAGAGAATTGTTAAGCTGAAGAGTATTACCTGTACCATAACCCAGGGTTGTTGGAAAAATTAGAATTTAATAAAAATTGCTGTTTTAATTATTTAAGATACGTACTTCAAACTTTAGTATGTTATTTCTAAAAATCTAGATTATCGAAATATGCGGAATGAAAATTGTTTGTTCAGAGTTTTACACTAGGTGTGCCTCAAAGAAGACTTTCCTCAAAATAGACAATTAACATTTGAATATTTAAATTGTGTGTGTTACAGTCAACGGGATATACGCCACGTTGTTTGCGCCGAGGTGATTCTGGTATGCCGCAAGACGAGCTGACACCTCGCTCAGACTCGTCAAACTCACCAGCAACCCTAGAGACAATTCCCCCAGTAGTAGGTCTAACATATGCATCAGAATCAGGTTCAACGAACCGCAGCAATACGAGTAGCAACAGTGAAACGTCCAGCGGAGTCCATTCAAACGTGAGCAATGCCTCCCACACGTCAGGTGCATCCCATCAACGTCGAGCCACAAGTGTTGACGATCTCAGTGGAATACCAGACGGTCCAGGTGATTTCTCCACAACCAGAGACGAAAATCATTGGCGCAGTTGCTCACTCCAGCGTGGGATACAGCCCCCATTCTCGCGAAACAAGGATTTCATAGCGACAGTTGCCCAAAATGGAATAGTCGCGACATGCCAAGCATTCTCCCAGTATAGGAATGGTGAGACAAAAGCACCCCAGCCCCAGCAGTCGGGCTGTCCAGCCATTATTCTGGAGAATGCCAACGAAGCAACAGTGGTGATACGCAGAAGATTATCAAGAGCTAAAGTAACAGAGCCACTTAATCCAAACGATCCCGAGCCATTTTCACGTTCTACTAACATGAGAATGACATCATTCACTGAGAACAGTGACATCAAAGGTGGTATTCATGCCTCCTCAGCAACATTGCCACATTATCCGACTCAGCCAGTTGTGCCCACTTATCCTCATTGTTCCACAATGCCTTTGCCTCATGGCTCACACACCAGTGGATCAAGCAGTACCTCTGCTGTCAATGTGTCTGGTAACAATGGCACTATCACTGGTTCATCAAGCAGCTGTGGATCAGTTCCACAGCAGTCTATTAATCAAAATGGACACACCATTCTACCACCAAGTCATACCACACTGCCTTCTCATCATAATGGCATGAGGCTTATGCACAATCCAACAGCTGCTAATTCATTCGTTAAAAGATATCCACCAAATCCTATTCATGTTCAGGCACAACCCTGGAATTTGTCATCGGGACATCACACGTTTCCCCAATCACTGCAAAATAAATTCTTTCCACCTACTAATCCTGGTAGCAGAGTCGCTGACAGAGACTCTGCCAATTTCTCAATGGCTAGCAGTGGTGATTCAGATATTTGCGTCCAACCCCATTAGGGCTGTTAAGGGATTTTCGTGATAATTAAGGGGTTAGAGAAGTTTGAAACTTGTTGAGGGTTTTGAGGATGGAGGAGGGGCTATTAGGGGTGGTGACGTTGCTTCGATAGTTGTATGCGTGCGGGTATTGTTTGGGTTGAGTGCCATTATTCAATGGAAACACTTCGGAATTTGATAATTAATTGAACGTGATTTGATAATGATTATGAGGGATGGTGATATTATTCCGGTGGAGTAATCAACTGATTCCCTTTTGCCATGAAAAGAGTTCTTGTACTAGGATAAAAACCCTAAAAAAGCTATTCCCAGCTCTCCTTGAGCATATTTACATATCAAATGAACAAAAATATCTCTGAGAGCAATAATTATGCTATTAAAAAGTGTTGAATGCCAATTCCGTTGCTAAACATATCCATTATGCGTAAAAGTAGAGGTAAAACGAGTGAGAAAAATGAAAATCTGTACTGTAGGGTGCGTCAAGTGTGTTAAACGGAAAATTAAATCGAGAGTGAGGGAATGCAATTCAAGGAGTAAATCAGCACAGTAATTTGATATTTATTCAAATTCCAGTGACGATCACCTAGGAGTAAAGAAAATAATTGCATATACTTGCATATTCGTAATTATAATGAGAAATACGTAGATGATGTGGAAAAAATGTAATTTGCAAATCTTCCCCAAAAATCTTGTGATTTTCATTTGATTTTTCATGCAAATTTCGATCAACTCGGAGCAACGAGAATTGTAGTATCGGCATTAACACTAAATCATGTGAGACCCATCGATTATCGCTCATTTGTTCGTTATCGTTTATTGATAAGAAATAATGAAGTTACGAGAAAGATATTTTCGACCATTTTTCCGGCATTATTTGCGATGATATCGTAATGTTGATGAAAATTCAATGAACGCACATACAATGACACAAAACACGTACACAGACACTAAATCATTAACTCTGTATGCGGCACAGCAATGAAAAATGCTAAAGGTAATATATTTTTCATATATTATGATCAATGAGTAACTGTCAGAAATGACAATTAACTTGGAAAAAAAAAAATGAGCCGTAATGTGGGAATTAAAAAAAAATTCTAGCTAGTTCTTGTGCTCCTTATCTTTAGGACATATCGTGTACCTCGAGACAAATCCAAAAGCAACAATAACAATGTGAGGAATACTAAACAATGCTTCGTCGAATTTAATCGATAATAACTAATCATTAATCAGCATTATCACAATCCGAGAATCATCGAGGTCTCTTGCCTCTCTCTATATCACAAGGAGTTTCTCCTCTGTTCGCCTTTAATTCCACCATTGACGAAATAAAACGCAGTAATGATAATAATTCAGTAATGAAAAATGAGTGTGTAACACGGTTCGTCGGATTGGATATGATAAAGAAGCAATTTTTTTACAAAAATATTTTTTTACTGTAGAAGATGAAACAAAAAATGGGACTAAAGATATGAGAAGAGAAAATACTTTTACCGTAACTTTTGTATTGGTTTAGACGGGACTAGAAAACTGCGAGGTAGAGCATACCCAATTGCAATCTGCACGATAAACAATTCACACGATCAATCGAAGAAAAAAAATTAATGTTAGTGTACTCGCACAATATTTTTTTTACATTTTATATGAGAAAAAAAAAACCTATTGTACATTTATTTTAAATCGTACTTAGTTCTTCACCCCTCCTGTGCTTGAAGAGAATAACGAATTATTGAGAAAAATGTGGAAGTTATGAATTAGCTGCTGAGAGCTCGCTATTCAAGGCACAACTACACTCGAATATGATACTCTTGTACATAACTATTGAACATTAACCTGAGAATAATAATACTTGTAAGAAAATATTGTATAAAGACTGACTAGAATATAATCTTGCTTTGATATTTATTCTATTGCAACGTGCTGCTGTCCTAAGCTGTTTTATCAGTCTAAAAGACTTGTCGTATGTCGACGCAAAATTACGCTAAACATGAATTTTTATTCACGACCCGCATGTGCTATCTATCAAACGAAATCTTTGCTTTGAATTTTATCTTGTTAGCCTGAAGTATTTATAAATTTGGATTTCAAATCGTGCTGTGAACACCACTCGAATGGTTATAAATAAATAATATAATTATAAAATATATTAAAAAGGGAAAAAATGTTAAAGGATGACAGATAGGGTTCTAGGAGTTATTCATAATCTTTATCTTTATTAGTTTCTATTAATTTTATATTTATTAATATCGAGGAGATATTAATGAAGATAAAAATAAATTAATATAGTTTTGGCTGACTAATGACTGTCATCTCGCAGACCACTGACTCAATTCCTTATCACAAATATTCATTTCACATCACACATCCAAAACGTGTTAAAACCCACTCAACTTAATAAACCACAAGAAAATTAACGTGGGTCTATTGTTTCTGTGGTCTATTTTTTGCCAAATGAATAACTCCAGACAGCTAATCACCGAATGGGGGTGACTATTCATTAATTTCATTTGTTCCTTTCAGAATAATTTGTCTTTTAATTTGAAATGAATAATGCGATCTGCCACCCGTCAACAATTTTTTTCTCTTTTTTATAATTATTTTTAATAAACATCCCAGTGATTTCCGCAGCACAATTTTAAATCTAAATTAATTAATATTTTACGCTAACTAGATCGAATTAAATCCAAAGATTATGCTCCAGAGATAGTATAGCCTCAGGAAAATCAAAGAGATGATGTCAGAAATTGCATTCTCTTTATTTACAATCTCGTTCATTTTGTCGGACTCTCGGAGAGAAATAAACAGCGGCACTATTATCCTCGCATCTTATCATCTATCATGACGCATACAATACTCAACTCGTCATTCGATTATGTGTAAACTTTGTATATTCATTTATTGAGAAATAAAAAAAAAACGTGTACAAAAAAATCATCGGTGGTCCTGTTCTTTACTTCCAGTTTCGGGAATTTACGAGGGATTCATATGCCCTCCATCATCGCTCTAACTCTTTTCATCTCTGTGGGAAGAAAATGAAAGGTTTATTATTTACTAACGAGAATTAGGGAGAGGTGTACAGAGAAAAATCTAATTTCGACGGAGAATATTTACTTCAGACAAGAAAATATTCTCTTATTAAAACTAAAATTTCATTTTTTAGGAGTTTGATTATATAATACTTTGTACGAAAAGCACAGAATCGTAAATAGTAATGATAATAACATTAATAATAATACATGTAATATATATTCCATATTATTATTATATGATTCATTTTTTCAATTTGCCAACTAAATTGCAAGTGTAAAATCTAAAGGAAAAATTACGATTACGAATTCGCAGTTGAAAAAAAATGTTATGGTTTCTTGTTTGAAGTACATCATCTTTATCATAACTATTCTTTCTTTCCGGTGTCCAAACTCATCAAGTCCGATATGGTAATATATTTTTGGGGATAAATACCCTCAAGAAGAACAGGAAGTTGACTCTTCGGTACGTTGATGGATGTAGTTGTTTCGATGCCATCCAACTTTTTCAATTTCAGTGACATTTTTATGAAGCTCGATGTGTTAACCTCATCACTGGGTAACATCTCCCCCGAGGATAAATGACTCACTACAGTGGAACAAACAGGTTGATGAATAATGCATTGCACGAACAATTTGTCAAAAATTTCCCCTCGAGTAATTTCTAAAATAGAAATTCTTAAAAATATTACACCCGTTAGAGGTTTTTCTATTCTGATTTACTAATATTCTCCTTTTTAGACTAAGATAAGTAGCTCAATTAACTAGTCAGCAATTAGTTGATTGATGGACTGCTCAGGGAGATTTTCCAGAAATAAAAAAAACGTGCACTATCGAAAAAAATCGCGAATTATAATGCACATTATTCAATGGGTTTGAAATTCTAAATTTCTCTCCTTCAACAATTTTGCTAAACAAATTATTTATAAGACAAATTATGTTTTCGGAATCATCGATTCTTGCGTTTTTCTTAAACTTTTCAAAAATTCGTAAAGCTTTAGAAAAAAACACAGGGAAATTAAGTATTCCGCGCTCCTGAAACTTTGTGAGTAATGAATAATTATAAAATGTGGAAACGGTATATTTTTTAGGGTCAACCCGATCAGCAATTCTTCAAAAAAAAAAAACGGTAATTTTATCTAAAAAAAATATCCCGCAAAATTTTTTTTGTGGGTAACCCGCGATTATCGTTAAGCATTTCAAGTTATTTTGAGTTATAAAAATATTATTTACATCTGAGAGACTGAGCCGTTAGTGAATCCAAAATGCAATTAAAATTATCAGTATGTAGACGTCCAATAGCAACACTGTGTTCCCTAGGAAGTCCCAATTGCTGAAGTTCACTGCTCAAATCCGTAGCATTTACTCCATACCGCACAGATGAGATTAAAATTAATTCCATTGCTGCAATGATGGCCTTAGCGTCGTCGAACTCTGAAAAAAATTCACAGATCAAATAAAAAAACAACACCAAGAGAATGTAAATTCTCATTTTAATGGATGTTACCGAGTTTTGCATCATACGTAAGCTTCTTAACTTTATCCTCCTGCAACGATAAAAAATTTGTAACAACGCAAATGACAACTGGACTCGTTTCCATTAAGATAATAGAAAAATAAAAAAGAATGAAAAAGATGCAAATAAATTTTGCTGGGACTCGCAACGAATGAGTCTATGGAAATTTCAAGAGGAGAAAACAGGGATGAAGGAGTGCGTCATTAGATCTCATCCGGCTTGTTCTCAACTCATAACTTCACCATTCCTGTCAATTCTGTGTCTCTTCGTCTTCCTTTGCATTTACAATGAATCACTATTTTTCACGTATTGCTTTCAGAGGATGTAATATTTATTTATTACTGTGCACTGAGAGGAAAATCTACTTGCTATCATGAAATCCTTTCTTCAGTGAAAATATCTTGTGCATTTTTGCTCAATTTTTTGCTGGCAAGAAATTTGAGTTTTGGAGTTAAGGAGATGATTACTGAATGGAAATATGAAGTTTTTCAGGTGTGAGATACTGTTTAAAGATGGAACCTTTTTGCCAAAATTTATGTTTTTTTTTTTCAACTATCCCGTAAATTATTGATAGGATTGACGTAGAAAAATATAATGTTTTGGTATTTTGTCATAATTTAGTGTAACTGTTGTCATTATTTTTGAAAGTTGAGATGAGCAAAAAATGATATTGCTTTTCTTCGAATTTAAAGCGACTGAGCGTAAACGATGGGAATATTCTTGTAATAGCTGGAGGTTTTCCTCTGCATAAATTTTCTCTAAATCGAATCATTCACTGAATCGAAGCGTTTAGTTACTTTTGGTTACTGTCATCTGATTCTCATCTTCTGATAATGAAAAAATTATTTCTTATAACAAGAAATTGTCGTTTTACGCTGCTAAAAATTCCGCGAAACTTCAGTCACAAAGTCATCTAGATTTAATTAACCGAGTTTGAAAGGAATTTTAATAAAAAACGGCGACTATATTTGTGTCGTTGAATGAGTATGTATTTTTTAATTTTACTAAAAGCTTGAATTTTCAACTTGTTCATAGGCTTTCAATGCCGTATAGATCTAGAAATGGAGAATTCAAATGGAAATTCAAAAAATTCAATGATTTGTTGAAGAATTCTACAGAAGTGTCATGTCGCTTTGTTGCTATTAAGAATTTCAAGTTTTTTCATTTGAAAGTTTATACGTAATTTTCCAACATTCAATATACGAATTCGTATCCCAAAAAATTTGAGGAAAGAACTAAAGAAATTTTCAGTAATTTTCACTCAATTTTTTTATGCAAATTCCTGTAATATTGAAAATAAATTTATAATTCACTCACGTCTAGTTCATTTCCGCCGACGATTGACTTCACCACCAATTGCCCCAAAAGCTTGACTTTGATGGACGTCTGAAAGAAAAATCGTCAGCGATATAATTCATTAATCAATTGACAGAAAATCCCGTGAAATCTCAAAATTTTCATTAAAAACTAGGAATTCCCCAGGAATTTATTCCGTGAATTTCAATACGCCTTAGGAATACATTATAATCTTGCAAGTGTTACGGTTCATTAGAAAAGCGCCAAAAACGAATTATCGAAAATGAAAAATGATCGAATCGTTGCCGATAAAGAAGTGGCGAATTCTAAATTTGAATTAAATGAGTTCAGTTTATTTAAATCATCAATTCTTGGAAACTATCAAGGAGAGAGCCATCAAAGAAAGCTTTTGTAATAACTAATTAAATGTTCGATATAAAAGGAATAAGGATAAAGCCGAGGGTTATTTGATTAACTACTTAACAAAACGATTCTTAAACAATAGGTCCCTAATTCTCGAAAGCCTTTCAAGTTTCACCGCAGTCTCCCTTTAATATTCATGATCATCTAATTTACCATTCGTGATAGTACATTGATCTCAGCGAGAAGCCAATCAGGGCAGTCTCCATCCCCCAAGAATCGGAATCGCTGCAATTAAAAATCAAAACATCAAAATCCACGGAAACGTGTTAAATCTCCAATTTCCAATTCTCCAATTTCCAATTCTCCAATTCTCCAATTCTCCGATTCTCCAATTCTCCTAAATATCAATTACTCTAAAAAGCCATCAACTTCAAGAGTAAACATCAAAAAAGAATTTCTTCATCTGCAAAAAAGTCCTCCACCGTTTTCACTTCAAACCAATAGTTTTAAAAATAAATCAATAATTCAGAGAAATGTTGAATTATTCCAATAATTCGAATTATTTTCCGATTGGCTACCAAATCATGTTAGTAATATTTGAATAATTAATTTTAATAGACTTACCATTTTATTCTATTGTTCGATCACTGTTCAAAACTGCAAAAAAATCACGGGTGAATTAATACAATAAACTACAGACTGTTTCAGATTTGTAATGAATCGTCGATCAGATTGAATAATATAATCGAAATATATCACACATTATATTACCTTCGTACATAAAATATAAAAATCATAAAGTGTATCCCTCATAGTAAAATATATAATTTAACAAATTTTTCTCTGGAGTATATTCATTTATATGACAATGAAGAAATATTTACATACCGAAATGTATAAAAATTTGGAAAGATGGGTGGAAGCTTTAGCTGATCGTAATAAAGATGCCGTCGATAATCGATTAGGGGTGGATGATGAAATTAAAGGGCAACAGCAAAATAATATGATGAAAAATGGTGAGGATGGAAAACCCGATGTGTTTGCACAGTCGACGAACAGGAGATTGACGTGGGTAGGTTTCACTACAGTGGACAACGGCCACATGTGTACAGAATGAATTCCCAAATGCAATTCTAAGGATCTGCGGGGTGAAACGAGACGAAGAAACTGGTATGAACTCATTGGAGACTAAACAGGAGCTGTACGATAGCATAAATACTGGGGGATAGATGAAATCCTGTGGCATTATTGTGCAGACTCGGCTGGTGGTGCTACATCAGTGGCAAAATCCGCTGGATTCATAAAAAGTATTGGGATTATTCCCCTCCAGCAAGTGGTAATTTAGTCATTAAGTTCTGACAACCGATCATCCAAATGTCAAGTTTATTCGTCTTTGTTCTATTAAGTGCGTCGATCAGGGTGAGCGAAAATTTATGATTGAACTCTGAAGTATTTCTTTTAAACTTCTGTGAAAATATCAATTTTCCGCCCCTTTGTTTCCTTTTTTTTTCTCTTTGGGTGGCGTAAATGCAATTTTTCAGCGCGGAAGTTGTACGCCAACACGAGTAATACTCGACGGCAACACGAGGGAGCTTCCAGCACCGTTGACATCCTGGTACCTTTGGGACACTGATGGAGGACTTTTTTCACCACGTATCCCTCAGTTTGACATGTACCGGCCAGGGAAGGCTCAGGGAAGGAACTTCGGGTGAATATTAATCCAATTCCATTTTGCAAAAAATAACTCTGCGTCGAGGTACTCCATACGCTAGAGACAAAACTAGGCTGGAGATAATCAGATAATCAATCTTTTTTCAAAGCGTCACTTGGTCGGAATAAATCATTAGCATTAAATCATTAGCATTGAATCATTAGCACTTGTAACTTCTCCCGAAGTAAAGAACTCCCAGAAATAAAAAACTAGAATAGTTAGAAAATTTGAAATCGTGAGAAATTGTATTTTGCGAACATCTCGACAACTGTTCAACCGATTAAGATTATTTCGTTTTAAAAATATGTATTTCAATGTTATCTACATCAACCATAAAATGCTATGAAGTAGACGTTCCTACAATGTTTTCGAGATATTTAAATTTCTCGTTTTTTTTGGAATCTGGTAATTACTGGGTCATTATCATTATAAAAACATGCACGTAGAAAATGTTCTTTTGCAGTTACTACCCCTTGGGGAGAATGCGTGCGGAAAGATTGCCGATGGGATTCCTGAATGGTCGTCAGCCCACTCGCCTGTTGGAGACACGATGTGAAAATCTGGAGGACCTGAAAAGGCAGGATTTCTTCATGTCCTCCGGAACACCAATCAGGTGTCGTCGAACAATTCGACAGTGGACGATGCAGGAACCATTGTACGTTGAGGAACCCCGCTGGATTCCCCTGGACGTAAAAGGAGACTTCAACGAGGAACCAGGATTCAACGAGGAGGACCCCTTCATCCTCGCCAGGGGCAGACGATCGACCGATAAAAATCAATCAAACTCATCGAGGGCTAAGCGTGAAATTCATCAGAGTGCGAACATGATTGAGGATACTGATGACAGAATGAAGAACTTCTACAGGGAATTGGAAAGATATCTGGCTGGTCGCAGTGGATATGTGCAACCCAGGAACAAACACTCCGATATCATGGACATCCTCAATGAACCCTTCTTCATATCTCGTGGCAAGAAGTCCAGAAGCAAAAAGAACGATCTCCAGAGGGCTGTGGATTCGGATGTTCATCTGCAGAGTTCACCAGGAAGTTATCGTCCCGTTCGCGATCGCAGGGGGGAAATCGTCGAGCAACTGCTGAAGGAACAGGATCCATTCTATATTGCCAGGGGAAAAAAATCGACGAATGATCGTTTGTCGATTATTGAGGACTGGAAGAAGTGAGATGAGATGGTGGGAATTTTTTAGTGTTCTGTGGCCCAGTGAACTGAGGAAATTATGATATTTAAGGCCCGCATGGACTGTCTGGAAAAGATAATTTACTCCGAAATTGGGGCTTCTAATTACTCCGTCAATTAATCATTTTTTCCGATAATTGTTAGCTAGCGGCCTAGTTGTTGATAACCGCTAGAACGCTAGCTAACAATTATTGAAAAAAACGATTAATTGCCAAAGTAATTAGGAATCCAAATTTCGGAGTAAATTATCTTTTCTAGATAATCCACCCGAGCCTTAAGGAGTTATTCCGGATATTTTATCATTTTTACATGTTCTTCACGAATTTCTGAGAAACGGTTGGGAAAATTCATTCGAAAAAATATCTTTTTTTTCAATTTTATTATCATTCAATGCCTCACCAAATTTCATCACCGTGAAAAAATTTTCACCGTGGAAAAAAATTCGCCAAAAAACCATAAAAATAGATGCACGACTATAAAAATTGGCGAGGCATTGAAGAATGACAAAATCAAAAAAAGATATATTTTTTCGCGTCAATCTGATAAACAGTTTCCCTGAAATTTATTTAAAAAACGTGAAAAATAAAAATATATTGGCAATAACTTCTTGAGACCCGCATGTACTATCTACCGAAAGTATCTTTAATTTGAATTTTATCTCAGTGGAAAATATTTCTAAATTAAGATCTAGGTTCTGTTGCGAAAACCACTCGAGTGGTTATAAAAAAATAATGATTAGAAAGGGAAAAAATTGTTGAAGATCGAAATATTGATTTCAAAGGAACTACCAAGTTAAGAGAAAACTAATAAATAATGCGCAGTTGACCATCGCCACCATTTGACAGTTAATTTTGATTCAATATTGTTATTAACTGTCAAATATATACTTTTCCCCGATTATAGTGGCTGATAAATTGTCTATTGTTAATAATTTTTCCGTAAACTTTCTGGATCCCTTGGAATAAAAATCTCCACCTGCCGCCCTTCAACAATTTTTCCTTCGTTTAATGATTATTTTTTAATAATTATTGGAATGGTTCATGCAACATAGTTTTAAATTGAGCAATATTTTAAAAACAACAAGATTTTCACAAAGAATTCAAATGAAAGATTAGGTTCGATAAATAGATATGCATGCGTGTTTTAATGATAAAATTCTAATGATCTTGTTTCACGTGTTCACAGAATCGAGGGAATGAGATATTTCGGTACATATTTAATCAAAGTGGTGGCAAATGTGCTTTGTGTCATTAAAATAGTTTATTATTTTGATGTTCCATTTTGTTGAAATGAGAATATATGTCATGTTGATCGATCATCCGTTCCGGTGATTCTGAATTTTTTATGCCAATGACCGTGTGATGCGGGGGTAAGAGGGAGTCATGAAATTATCATAAAAATTGAGAGAAGAAAAACGTCCGATATCGAGTGAAAATTCAAGGGGGAGAGAAAGAATCGAGTTGAGGGAGTCAGTGGAATGTGCGAAAACAATTGCTTGGAATTAATTCGTAAATTTCTACACCATCTACTCTAAATTTTTGTATCGGACGTTTGTTTCAGACTATTTTACTTTAGTTATTTCGATATCACCGTGCATTCCAACGAGTCAGTTGAATTAAAAATGAGATTCAATGTTTTTCAGGTGTAATTTCGTACAAGTTACCCTCTTTTTTTTTTGGTGAATAAAGGGGTGAAAATGAAGGAAGTCAGCAGTCGGGTGATGTTATTTATGATGTAGATGTGAGATAATTTGTCAGCAAGATGATGAAAAGAAACGACCCACTGCTTTTGCACACATGGTACCCCAATCTCGCATTAGTTATCAAAACAAATGGCCATGTAGTCGTAGTACACTGTCCTGTCGCGTATTAAAGGGACGCACTCTGTTGCTTCCTTTTCATTTATCTTGTGCAAAGATTATTGAGAGTAAGAACAATATTATGAAATATAACTGAATTCACCGCAACGAGTCCAATAAAAATGTTGAAAGATGGAAGAAGAAACGGGGGAGTGGATGTTTACCAAAAAATTTTATGCTATCGCGCTTATTTATTCCCAGTGCAATTACATTTCTGTAATGGTTTTCGATTTATGATATTGGTGGTGGTGAATGGCCGGAAAAATCATACGTGTTATGGGTTTTGGAGGGAAAATATGACGAATGAAAAATAATAAAAATATAATCGGAAAGTGCCGAGTGTATGCGCGTAGGCGAGAGGAGAGAAATACCACCTCCACAGTTGGGTTTAGGGGCGCGGGATTTTTGCACCAATCGGAAGACTGGATGTGCGACAGGTGGTGAGTATATAAGAATGGGGTACAGCTACCCTTGGTGAACATTTTCCAACTATCCTTTGGTCCAGTGTGAAAAATCTACTATTTTCAAATTCGTAATCTGGTGAGAATTCTTGACCAATTCATTAAAACTCTTCATTTCATTTCGATTTCTTTGATTTTAATCGATCTACTCTGGCAATCCGCTGGTTCGTTTAGTTTCTGCAGACTTGACACTGTTTTTGTCGGAAGATTGCCGGTGAGTTTCTTTAATTTATACCTTTGATTGTGATCATCCGAGAATTTTAATTCGTTATCTCAGCCTGTGAGGATTTATTTTATCTAGTGCTGTATACATGTGCTGACAGAACACTCTCGGAGGTATTTCTTTTACCCGGGGATGACGCGAGTAATGTGCACTGGCAGGGGTTGAAAGCATTGTTAAACGAGTTACGGAAGTGTTCTGTGTTTTTTCAATGGGTTTTTCAAGTTCGTTAGGAGACTGTGATGCTTGTCTGTCACTATGAAATATCATGACGTTAATTCCCTTCAAAGTTTCTTCCCAACCTTGATGAATAAGTCTACACTGAGAAAAAAGGTCTATTATTGAGTAGCTATCTGATTTTGCAACCGAAATAATTTCGTCTAATTACATATTAATGTACACCAAACACTTTGCATTTGGTGCAATAAATTTTCCATAATTGAATACAAAAATGAAGGATTTTGTTTAACGTAAATAAAGAACTTCTTGACACAATTGCTTTTTTTATAGATTTTCAGAATATCTATTGTTTAGAAATATTTTTGCTTGGTCCATAATTTTGTTGGTGTGGGTTTTCTATTTTTTTCTTCTTTCATTGAAAAACAGAGAAGAACTCTTAAAGGAATGTGGCACGTAATCGGGATAACAGTCGTTTTCCTCGTCTCACAATCTGTCGAAGGGTCTCAAGACGTCTATCTGAGTAACAATGAAAAACAGAAGATGATTAATCGGTTGGATGCGATGAAAATGGGACTGTCTCTTGTTCCGCACGATGCAAGTACGCGAGGATTTGTTAAAATTATAACAACTGGGGTACAGACACCTGAAAATAAAATAGAATTAACAACAATTCTAGTTCCGAAAGGACTGAAAGAATCGTTGAGGCATTTGCAAAGAAGATCGATTCTAAAAATGGATTTTCGTGATGGTCCGATAATGCACCGGCTCAGCTCGAGGAGTCCTGAATTCGCGAGATGGGCTTTTTGGCCGGATATCGAGAGTGATAAGGCAAGAATATTTCCAATTTGCTATCCATCGTGTGCAGAAAAAAAAATTGAAATTTGAGAATTTTTTCGAGATTCTGTCCGCAATTTGTGACTAGCAATCGGATTAAATGCAGAGAACTTAAAATTTATATATTTTATATAATGAATCAAGGAAACAAATCAGTGAATAGATTTCATTTCTTTTTTGGGTGATAAATTTCATCACATTTACGTAATGAATCCCGGAAAAAATATCCCAGGGAAAAAATATCCCACACATTCAAAACGTGTTAAAACTCGCTCAATTTATTTATTTTTTAATTTAATTATTTTTTTCGTTGTCTATTTTTTCAGGGGCTCTAATTTTCCTATGGTCTATCAAATTGGGTGGGTTTTAACACGTTTTGGGTGTGTGGGCTATTTTTTCCGGGGATATTTTTTCCGCCTACCTTACGGAATTAGGAGATGAATTCTTTGGTGTAGATTTTTTTGCAAAACGAAAGTGGAAAGTAGTAATTATAAATTTCAAGGATTTAATCGAGGACTATTCTATTGCGATTGATTTGAGCTAATGTCGAGAGTATTATCAATTTTTTAGACTTGGAAAAATTTCTTCCATATGGAAATAATCGCGAATTCAATCCTCCCGGCATGTCCGGAAAATAGACGGAGTGTTACCAAATTTATTTTCCATAATCGAAACAGTCAAAACAATAAATGAAATCGATTAACAATAATTAATTAATCGTATAAACTCCAACGATGATAAGTCCTAGGGTGCAGTGCACATTTAAACTATTTTTTTATGGAATCGAGAAAAAAGAGAAATATAATACCAAAAAATTCCAAATAAAAAGGATCGATAGAAACACCAACAAATCGTATGATTTTCAGATAAAAAAAAAAACAATGCGATGGGGTAAAGAATAAATTGAATCTCGAAGAATTGATGAATTTTATTTTTTTCTCTACACACATTGATTTGAAGTTCTGCGCCTATTTGCGGAGTAATTCCCTGTAAATTGGTGTATATATATCTATATATATATATAACAGATTATCAGCTCCATGGAGCAACATCGAAATCACGCTTTGGTCCTTCAGGAAGGCAGAAATCCTTCGTTCAGTCCCTGGGGTGGTAAACGTGACTCGAGTGCGTATAAACCAGATCCAAAAATAAGAAGACCAGCACGAGTGCCGTTCAACAGTTGGGGTGGCAAACGCGATGGTGAACATACAGGTGTCATTAAGAAGCCATTCAACAGCTGGGGTGGCAAGAGGTCTTTACTGATCGGGGATATCCTACGTGCACCAACTGGTGATATTTCGAGAAATTCCTGGCGTCATTCAGTGATTGATAATCCAAAATTAGTCACTCTTGACCCACACGATTTTCCGATGAGTAAGTTAATGAGTTTAAGGAAATGAATTGCTGAGGGAGAGGAAAGAAACCAATCGACTGTGGCAATTAATATTGTTATTCACCCTTTGCAGATGATTTTGATGAAATGGAGAAAAAGGAATTCAAGCCTGAGGGCATGTCCATCAATAATAACATGCCTAGAGTACCTTTTGGACCTTGGGGTGGACGCAAACGTCAGAGTGACGAATCAAGCGAGAATTACATGTCTGTCTCACCCTCATCTTCTTATGTTGATTCTGAATAAAGTACAATCCCATGAATTATCATGATAAAGGGTCAACAGGTCAATTTCTGGACGATTTAAACGTTCATTGGATACTCCTTGAATAATAAAACGACAATTGTACTGTTGTTTAATCTGTCAATGTCTTATTAGTGATAATCATGTGATCAATCATCTTTTATTATCAATTAGAATTTTTGCTGTATTAAATATTTATTTGTTCAATTAGTCTTTGTTTTGGCGTTTTTAATTCAAATCTTTCTTTTCAGCTTGTAAAAATTCTCTTTTATCGCAAATGTTATCAGGACCTTCGAATTTGTGTCGAACGCTCAGTAATTGGCCTTTTTATCCTACTCCAGTTCGAATCCCAGAGAATATTCTTCAATCTGATTCGGCAGTGATGTTACGTAGTCAATAGACAAATTATACAGAATATTTGATAGATATCAGATATCAATGTATGAATAATTTAGTAGAAAGTCGACTCACTGAATCAATATTCTCCGATAAATGTGGAGGATCAGGGAGATTTCCTGGAAAAATTCAATAAATAGAGTGGAATATTGAATATTTATTTATGATGAAATATTGTGTTTGAAGGATGTACCTGTGCTGGGGACGGTTGACAAATCTTTTATTGTTGAATATGAATGAATAAAACTTTGGTGACCCAAGGGTTCTCTAATTTATCCAATTAATTGTTGTTTTTCTTTGGGGGAAATTGTCGAATTGTTGGGATGACAGCTCGGGGTTAGGACTTTTGTTTACGACGGTTATGTTTTTATCACCAGGATATGTGTGCGATATCTGTGAGGACTGCAACGAACTGCATCAGAAAAAATAAATTAACCAACGGCAAGTGCTGCCTCTTGTGGATTGAAATTCAAACCTCACCTTAGGACAAATCCAGAAATGCAGAGAATAGAAGTCATTCGTCTGATATATCAAAAAATAAAACGCAGAATCTCTCACAATTAACTTCAATTTGGTACCAATTTTTCATTACTTTTATCCAAATTGTTATTGAGATTTGCTACAACGATATTTCACTTGGAAGAGTAGATTAATTTATTCAAGAGATTTTTTTACTCTCAGCTGATTCTAATTTTTCTCTAACAATGGTGAATCCGAAGAATTTGACAATGAACATTTCACGGGAATCATAAAGACACGAAAAATAAAATTCTACAAGTGCACGGATGCTAGTCGAGGAAGACCGCAATAACAATTTGATAAAATTGTCTGGGATTTTCCACCAATACTTGGCAATTGGGCAATAATGAACTATGGACCAGAATAAATCTTCGGAGCATTTGAACTTGCTCGGCTGTTTGTGGATAATTGAAAAGTATTTCTCCGATAAATCGTTGAAGGAGAACTGAAATCAGATATTAGATATGGTGAATATGGAGGAATTATTGAGAGAAATGGAGAGCATGAAGATCACGGGTAACTCAGCATCAGCACATCTCTGGAAAAAATGTGTCGACATTTTTGTTCCTCAGCTAATGAGTGGAGTAGACTTACCAGGTGTGGAGGATGATTTTAAAGATTATCGAGGAATTCTGAATGACAGGTTGAAGGAGATCTGGGAGATATTCCACCGGATTTTTCTCGATTCCAATGAAGGTGCCAATGATCCAGAAGTTATGAGGATTATTGTCATTCATCTGATTGTCGTTGTTGGAGAGCAGAGCGAGAGGTGTCCTTGGAATACTGATGAAACATCAGGATTAGTCCAGAGTATTTTGACTGATATTTGTGCATTATTCGGAAATAACAGTTTATCAAGTATCTTCTGCGGTCCTGATGACAAACTCCAAACGATTTTGATGATTCTTAGGCCTAAACTGATGAAGGATACGTGGAAAACTTATCCTGGAGCTGTAGTCTGTTATAAATGGCTGTTGAACCAAATTGAGGTATTTCTTTGATTTATAGAATTGTACAATTGCCTTTTCACTTCATCATGTTAATTTTTTTAATGGTGTTTCAGATCCCTGAATTGACAAAATATTTATCTAATATTCTTCCAACGGCATTAATTATCTTTGACGATTTTGTCCCCGAAAACAGAATTATTGGATTAGAATGTATTTACAGAATAATTCAACACTCCTCGACGGTACGTACTCTGAAGCAATCTTGAATATACTTTATTTTCTTTCAAGATAAATGTATTTTTATTTCTCGGGAAACTTTCATCAGTATTCTCTAATTAAAGCGTTAATTAGTGAATAACGACAACCGACTAATAAAGAGAGAAGAGTAATTGAGAATTTTTCTGTATATATTATCACATAATTGGGAGAAATACTTTTGTTTGTCCTCAGCACAGAGAATTCATAGAGAATGGATATGCAGCTGTAATCTACGATGCTGTGGAAAAATTAACACATCACCGTGATGTGAGATATATCATCCCAACATTCACTTGTATCACAAGTGTTTTGGCTGTAATTGAGAATAATAATCACTCGATAAACAGATTTGAGGTAAATGTTATTTCATTGTGCAGTCTAATGTCTCAACTCCGATTACGTAATTTTAATATCTCGTGGTTTATCTCAGTGGTCGAAGAGAGATGATGTGATAGCAACAATTCTAGACAATATGGAAATGGAGCAGGACTTGGACTTACGTCATGCCTATATGATGAGTTTACCTCAGCTTTTAACTGACCTGGGATGTGCCAAATGGTTGCAGAGATTGATTAGGATAATTGAGGAATACTGCAGTCATCACACTGACTTGAGAACACTCAAAGCAACTCTGCAGGTAAATTAGCAGATAAATCTTTAATTACATCTGTTGTTTAATTGGATCAGTAATAATTAAGATCAGTATTAATTGGTTGATGTATAATTGGAGTAGATGTTTGAATATAAAATGAATAATTACATTAATAATGAAGGTTTTATTTATTATTATTTTTTTCTCCAGACTGCAGAAGTGATACTCACATTATTTCATCTGAGAATTCCAGCCCACTGCACCCCTCTCTACACAGCATTTCTCAAACTCCATCTCGATCTAACCGAAACGCCAATTTTTGATAAGGAAATAACTAACAGTTTAGAGAGATGTATTTACACTCTGTATCAATTAACACCAAATGTCGGCTCGGTAATAATGCGAGACGATCGGATCCGTACGATCATTGAGGATAGTCTGCTTTTTGCCTGCACTGGTGATACAAAATATTGTAATTAGACTTTGTGATGATAAATTAGTACTTGTAATCATTTTTTTTATGAGTATTGCACGTAGAGTAATGAAGCCGTAAATTTACTCAAAGATATACCAATGTACAGTTATTTTTCTCTTCGGTAGTTGAATGTATTTGTAATTTTCTAGTCTGAGAAATTCAATAAAATTATTTCTTCGAAATAAAATCAATATATTTCGAGAATTTCCATGGCCTCCCATTATTTTCCCCGATAATTACTCTATGATGATAGTAATTTCACTCATATGTTGCGAAAAGAAAAACCATTATCTCATATACTTCGCAATTTATTAAGACAATACGAAGGATGGATGAGCAAGTATCAAAGGTCGACTCTGGTGGTGGAGTTTTTGATAAAAGCTAAACTGCTATGCAGTTGAACTTCGTTGGTCATTCGATTAGTTGGTGGATTTTTGCAGAAGGAAGAACATGTCTCCTCTACTTCTTGCTATCACTGCACTCTTGATTCTGTACGCGTGTTACAATTTTGTTACTTCAAAACCTGGGAAAGCTCCACCCGGTGAGCAAACGTTATTATTCCCTCAAAATTATACTTCATACCGTTATATCTGCAGTAAGAAGCTGCAGCTGAATCCACTCTGATCTATCCACTATTGATATTTTCATCTAGGGTTGATACGACTTCCTGTATGGGGATCCTATTGGCTGCTGCTCTGGGGAGATTACTGGTTTCCTCACAATACTGTCGCCCACTACGTTAAAAAATATAAATCCAAGATAATCAGCTTGTGGATGGGAAAATACTACACGGTTATCGTCAACGATTATGAGACTGTGAAGGAAGTCCTCACCAGGAGGGAATTCGATGGGAGAGACACGAAGAGCTTCATGGGGTTGTCGAGATCCTGGGGAAAAACTCTGGGTAAAAATAATTTATCGATAAGCACCCTTTAAATATTATTTAATTCCTTACATCATGTTTTCTTAACAATATATGAAGAATTATTTTCTTGAGTACTTAAAAAATATCTTAATTGGATTACTGTAATGGATTAAAATTGAAAATGTAATCGGGATAAAAGGGATAGTCCCATTTATTAAACGAAACAAACTCAATGTTTTAAAATACCTGGAGCTTTAAAGAAACATCATTAAAAAAAAACTTTATTTTGCAATATCAGGTATTTTCTTCAATGACAGTGAGGAATGGCAAGAGCAGAGACGATTCGCCCTCCGGAACATGAGAGATTTTGGATTTGGAAGGCGACACGGAGGACTGGAGAGTCAATTCCAGGAGGAGCTGAGGGTTTTGGTGGACACGATAAAAAATGGGCCGATTAGTGAATCCGAAAAGGTGTACATCAGCAGAAAATTAAAAAATTGGATTGGAAAAAATGACATTTCAAAAATGAGAATGATTTATATGATTTTAGGGAGTTGTTAATGGAGATCTGGTGTACTTTCCAAATATTCTGTACCCATCATGTACCAATATAATTTGGTCCGTCTTGGCTGGCGAGAGATTCGGTCGAGAGCATCACGACGAGCTGAGACAATTATGCATTTATGCCTCGATGTTTCAAAAAGGAGGAGAAACAGCGATTGGAGCTGTTGCTATGACTCCCTGGCTGAGCCGTTTCGGAAACCTCTTCAGTTTCGGTGACTGGGTCGAGGGTCATCAGGGAATGACTCGATTCATCAAAGTAATAAACAACGCAATAGCCGCATTATCATTATCCCCTTTATCTCTGACAAACCGTTGTGTTTATAAATATAACTCATTTTTTTAGCGATACATTGATGAGCGAAGTGAAGCAGCCTTGGTTGATAAATCAATCGAGGGTTTTATCCCGGCGTATTTGAAGGAATTGAAAGAAGGAAAACTCACTGAAAATTTTTCTGAGGAGCAATTGGTGATGGTTGCCGTTGATTTTATGTTCCCCGCACTCTCAGCTGTACCGAGTACTATTGTTCATGCATTCAAGTGGCTGATGCACTATCCTGAGGTCATGAGAAAGGCTCAGGAGGAAATTGACAGAGTTGTTGGGATGGAACGATTTCCAGAATGGGATGACAGGAAAAAGCAAGTCTTTTTAATAATTAAGTAATGAGTAAAGAGTAACAATAATTCGCACAGTGGGGGGTATCGATTTTTTCGTTACGATTTACATTGAATTTATTCTGTAAAAATGTAATTTATATTTTAATCTCCTGTTTTTTTCAGTTTACCGTATACAGAGTCGGTTATTCGGGAGGTGATGAGAATAGAAACTTTGACGCCACTCGGTGTAATTCATAGATGTACAGAGAATACCAGTCTCAAAGGATATGATATTCCAGTCAATACTGTGGTATTGACTAACTTGTCAGCAATGCACAATGATTCCGACTTCTGGGGTGATCCTGAGAACTTCAGGCCAGAGAGGTTCCTCGATAAGAATGGACAGCCTGTGAAAGATTTCACTCTCCCGTTTGGACTCGGTAATTTCAACTCTAATCTTTAAACATAAGTGTCTTTTAGAAAAAAAATATAGTTGTTAGAAAAGATTTGCTTGTCGGTTCGAAAAATCGAGTAATTCTGTCGAACCAAGTTCTTGCATTTTTGCCTTTGTATTTACTTTTTTTTTAAATCGATCTCGAGTAACCCTATTTTTATTCTATTCTTTTAAGCGACTTTTAATTCTCGAAACTGAATTGTGCGAGGAAAATTTGAAAAAATAACATCTAAATGAATTCAACTTGTTTGCAAAATGGCGGATGGAGTAAAATTCCGAATTCAATCTTTAAGGCCCGGATAGACTGTCTGGAAAAGATAATTTACTCCAAAATTGGGACTTCTAATTACTCCGGCAATTAATCCTTTTTTCCGATAATTGTTAGCTAGCGGCCTAGTCGTTGACAACCGCTAGAACGCTAGCTAACAATTATTGAAAAAAACGATTAATTGCCAAAGTAATTAGGAATCCGAATTTCGGAGTAAATTATCTTTTCTAGATAATCCACCCGAGCCTTAATAATACTGGGAATTCTTGAATTTTGCATACAAAATTTTCTCAAAAACCCCAACAGTAAATAAATCGAGATGAAATAACACTTGAAAATTTAATTGAATTCTCTAGAATTTTTTGTTGGTTTTATTATTTAATAATCTTTCAATTTACCGTAAGGGCAGAGCAACTTCGAAATTTTTCATTGCTTTACTGATGAATTAATGATAATATTTTATTGAATAATAATGTTTTAATAAATGATTCTGTCTAGGTCGACGTGTCTGTGGAGGGGAAACGTTCGCGAGGTTTGTCATATTCGAGCTTTTCGCAACAATGCTACAGCAATTTGATTTTTCATTTGTCAAGGGACAACCGACAAGTCTGAAAGACAAATACCCGGGTTTAATCGTGCAACCGACAAGAACCTGGATCAAACTCACGGCTCGAAGCTGATTTAATGAATATACCCATGTTAATCTCGAGAAAAATTCTCGAATCTATTTTCCGTTTGTGAATGTCAGAAATTACTGTTAAAGAATCAATTACAAATAATGGACAATTAAATACTCGATAATAAAGTATTATGAAAATACACTGAACTCGAATTAATGCACTAATTATTCTTGATTATACTGTTCATTTGCTCATTTCATGAAGATCGATAGCATTTGAATACTGCCCCATTAAAAGCTAATCTTATCTTCATTACGAAAGACTGAAATTCTGCAATTTTATTTCGTTCGATACCGGGAACCACTTATCAGTATTGTTTATCATTTGCGTCGATGGAAATTTCAAGAAAATTCAATTTTTATTTTCAATTTAAAAACTTGGAGAAGTGGAAAAGTGGAGAAGTCCAAGGAGAATCGGAATTTTCGTTCGATTGAATATTCTTTTTATAATCGCCCTAAGGTCAAGATAGATTGAGATATAAAAATTAAATTCGATTTTTAATTTCTTTAATTATAGAGCTCAATCAAAAGTTATAGAAAATTAATTTAATAATATTCCATTAAATATATATTGTTGAAATTTAAGAACAATGACAAGAAATAAAATCATAAAATTTGGGATTTTATTGAAAATTCCCTACAATTAGTTAATCGATATTCATATTGGATTGTACATTTGAATTAATTTAGGAATTCTCGTCTTCATATATCTAAATAATATGTCTCTTATTGACCGGAGAATTTTCCTCAAACCGATGGGAAGTGAATAAAAAATAATCGTCACTTGCAAAATAATATGATATCAAAGCCGAATGAATTTTCCTGTATCCGAATGAACGATCGCATTATAATGAGCTGCGGTCGTAAAAAATTCCAAACCGCTCATCCCGGCGAAAGGTTAATGAGGTGCCTCATTAGCCAATGCTACAATTTGCGCATTACGACGCACATGTTCACAAATCATATATCAACATTTTGTCTAACTAGGCATGCGTTCGAAGTGCAAATATGGAGCGATAACCCCATCCTCAGATTATAAAAACTGTTGCTCAAAACTGTTTTGTCTGTCGACACCGCAACTTCCAAAATTTATGAATCAAGGAACAAGTCACAGGTAATTTTAAAAAATCTTATGTTTATTATTTAACGGAAATGCTGGTATATTAAAAGTAAAACAAAAATTGATTGATTTTTTTTGATAGGTCTAGATTCAATTGACTCTACGAGTTGACTCACTCTCTGTGGATTAGTACATACAACCCAAGGCAGGCTAATACAGCGTACTTGAGCTTCGGATACTCGTTCATGTATATTGTTACCATTCCAACATACGGTAAGAAGCCTCTTGCTCTTCCGACTACGTCTTTGTGAGTTAACCAGAGTTGACCTGGGGCGTACAATCCTCGATCGTCAACCGAATTGTTGTCACCCTTCGTCAGGAATTTCACTGTGCCATTCGCGTCAGCCCTGCATTAATAAACACAAAGTCACTTACACATGTTACATAAAGTCATCGAAAAATAGACAAAATATGAAACATCATATTCGAAAGTTCAAATAATCCAATATCTAAGTTTTCCATAAATATTTATAAATGTAACAGAGACAGGGCAAACTTTAAAAAGTCATTTTTTTGCAGGTCGCATTGCATTTTATAAAAAAAACTCTTAGATTCTGAGAACTTTTCGAAAACCCAAGGGTATCTTTTTGGTACTGAATTATTCGAGATTAATAGTGGTTTTTTTCATACTTTTCGTGAAGTTTGAGGACTCGATGGACGATTGGAATGTCTCTACCATCGACCTTAAAGACAACAATCTCTCCAACACGAACGGGTTCGTCCTGGTAATTAGTGAGGAAAAGGAGATCTCCACGATGAAACGCTGGTTCCATACTTCCACTGGATAAATTCAATAGAAGATAAATGTAATTGAGAATAAGAATTATGTTTATATTCCAGTGTTAGTAACACGAAAGAATATGTTGTGGCGTTTACATTGAATGCTGATTCAAAATCCAGAGTGAGATAAACCCATGATTACGTTCGATAGATAGTACATGCAGAGTGTAAACAGCTTTCAAATACAGAGTTTTAATTACCCCAGTGATTACAGAACATTAATAAACAAATTGGGGATGAGATTTAGGTTAAGTTGACAATTACCTAAGCACCACGACAATTGGACTCTCACTTCCCGTTACGACCATCAATCCTTTCCATATCATCAACGCCGATGATACAATCATACCAAAGCTGAGAACTTGATAGATGAACTGAATGAAATCGACAAAACATGTTATTAGTGGTTCTCTGAAATTCGTAATCTTATGTAGGCCATATGTTGAGATCAAAACAGCGGTTTTTTTGGAATGAATTACCTGTCGTTTATTCATTCGCTTCACATCATCGAAAAGTCCCTGCAGCATCTTGATTGCTTTCTAATTACAATACTATTATAATATTCGGTGATATAATACTAATTTTCAGAGGAAAACTTGTTTTACTGTTGAAAGATACACCGGCATGCACGTCATCAGTATTTACCCAATTGATTACGAACTCTTTTTGATGTGGGCATGCGCACTGACGTTGGATTTTTGGGGGAAAATCAAAAAGACACGTTGACTTCGTCTGCGTGGTATGCAAAGAGGATTGACTAAAGTAGAGGTTCAGTTCTGGGGGTTTGAAGGACTCCAACGGCATTGTAGTACTGCACCCCAAGAGAGAGAGGGCGCCACATGCAATGCTGGGGTGTCTACCCGTCAGCCGACTCGGTAACTACCTCAGTAAAGTATTAGGGGAACATGAAAATGGAGAAAGTATTCCTTGAAATTGGAAATTCGAAATTTTCGAAAAAGTATCAGGAGAGCATGAAAATGGAGGAGGTATTCCCTGGAATTTGAAAATTCGAAATTTTTGAAGAAGTATCAGGGGAACATGAAAATCGCGGAGGTATTCACGGATATTTGAAAATTCGAAATTTTCGAAAAAGTATCAGGAGAGCATGAAAATGGAAGAGGTATTCCCTGGAATTTGAAAATTCAAGATTTTTGAAGAAGTATCAGGCGAGCATGACAATTGCGCAGGTATTCACTGACATTTGAAAATTCAAAATTATTGAAAAAGTATCAGGGGAACATGACAATTGAGAAGGTATTCACTGAAATTGAAAAATTCAAAATTTTCAAAAATGTATCAGGGGAGCATGAAAGTGGAGGAGGTATTCACTGAAATTTGAAAATTCGAAATTTGTGAAAAAGTATCAGGACAGTATGACAATTGAGGAGGTATTCACTGAAATTTGAAAACTCGAAATTTTTGAAAAAGTATCAGGGGAGCATGATAATTGAGGAGGTATTCACTGAAATCGACAAATTCGAAATTTGTTCGAAATTTGCGATCAATGCAGATTATTCATGTTTTTAGATAGTATCACCGGTTTTACGATGAAAAATTGTTTTTTCAGTCAGTCGTTTTTCTTAACAAAGATAAATTATTAGATGTCCATATTAAATAGCTAATGAGCATCGCTAACAATCATCATGGAGTGTGATTATTCGACATTTCTGATTGATTAATGACAAAACAATGCTAACGGCAATCTGAATGATCGGAGGTACAAAGTTCTGAGTAATGCGAGGAAGTAAAAAAATTTGTACTTTTGTCCAACCACGGATCGTTGATTATTCACCTTTCCACACTTCCTCATTTGGTGGAGAATAGAGTTTTTAATGAGGGGCTCGGTTTATTGCGATTGATATTAGTCCACTAGCCATGCATACTATTTTTTTAACCTCTTAATATTTATTAATGATATTTATCTTCCACAAATTAGTACGCAATGATTTTTTCGCTGATTATTGCGACTTATACACCAGAGATAACGAACGATGGCTTCAAATAAATCGATTAAAATTCCTTTACCATTCCATCAACTTTCATTTTCAGATTAGGAATTGAAACTTCATTACCTTCATTACGGACATTCCACCTCGAAATATAAGAACCCTCTGGATAATGTCAATAATCAGCATTCTTTACGTGTCGTAAATTCGTGACGGCTAAGAGTGCCACCGGATAATATTTAAAAGACAGAAAAATCTCGTGTACAATTACAACTCCAGTCTATAACACGAACACCCGATTGATTATTATTTCACTGATTATGTAATGACTGCTGAAACATTGGGAATCGTGAGGTAAATAGCTGTTGGGACAGTGGAACAATAACATTCGAGGGAATTCACTGGTTGGGGTTAAAGATCGATGAAAAGAGGAAAGGAACACAGATTTTTGTCTAATTGTTTTTCCAGTCTATTTAATTTTTTTTTTTTCACATTCTACCCCTCATTTACTCCTTCATTTACTCCTTCATGGTCAATGTGTCAGGGTTGAAATTCGGCTCTAGTTTTATTATTTTTTTTGGGTCAAGGACAAAAAACGCGGGGAAATTAATTGAATTAACAAGAAATTCAGGGCGATTCGCGATTTTTCATGTGGGAATAAACTTTTTATGAATTAAAATTGACAACTTGTTTCTGAGAAAATGAATTTCCATATGGTAGCACGTGTTTTTTTCTTTCATGCAAGTCAATGTTCTATTGACAAAGCGTCGTAAATTTGTGAATAATTTGAATGTTCTGAAGTGAATGAGAGGCTTCTGGGCCATTTATGAATATTCCAATGAATCGCAAGGAAATATTTCAATATTTTACCGGTTCAGGTGAAATTTTTGCATGATAATGTCACTGATGTTGTGGAAAAACGGTAAATAATCGATGACAACTTCTTCATTGTCTTGTTTGTCTGTTTATTCGTTGCCAGATAATTTCAAGTTAAAGTCAGTGACTCTGGGGATCATTGCAGCGTGACAGAACGGAAAATGCATCGTGCAACTCTTTATTATTCTATTTTTACTCTTGTGAAGAAATGTTGAGGATTTACACCATCGGACTGACATCGTGGGCCAATCTCAATATCAGCATATATCCGCCCCTCTTATTAAAGGAATATTTATGGATATAAATCAATGGAGAAAAATCGGGTCAAATGTTAATGGAAAACAATTATGAATTCACTTGGTTTCCTGCTAAAACGTCTTTTGGTCTTACTCCCCATTTGCCGATTTATACACATGTCAACAATTTAAACAATTTCTTAAAAATAAAGAGTTACGTCGCTACAAAATTTTCGCCCCGAACTGTCCATCATTGTTTTTCAGACTTTTATTATAATTAAATTCGATGAAATGTAAAGGATTTTTGTTAATAAAAATTCAGCATTTCATGGAATAATAACTGGAAATGTTGGTTCGATTTTTATTCGAAAAGAAATGAAGAATAGACCAGTGCCAGTAAATATGCCCTTGAAATTTAATGTTTTTGAAAATTCAATGGAATTTCTAATTGAATATTCATGAGGATTGAAAATTATGATGATTTAACTAGGAACTCTCGCCTTAATGCTGCTATGTATTTTGGTCGTTTCTAAAATTCCGGGAATAACCGCAATTTTTTAGAATTTCGGAAATCATAAACCTTTCTCAATTTCATACAAATTTGGAAAATTATAGGAACTTTAAACAAATTAACAGGAATTTGATGAAGGAACAGAAAAAATGATTCAAAATTTAGGACTAGGATTTAAGACTTAAGATTAGGATTTGGGATTAGAATGGGGATTTTTGGACTTTCAGAGTAGATATTTCACAAGGCTTCAATATTATTCCGTAAAACCGGAAGTTTATAATTTTTTCCCTCTGAATCACAGTAAAAAGAATCTTTAGGTTTGTTTTTTTTTAATTTCTCAACTGTGACTTTTTTCTCGTTATGCAAACAGAATTCCAATTTCGATTCAATCAATAAAACTGATAGTGCGATGGCTCTTCTGAATATAGAAACGACCAAAATATTTAGCGTTGCAAAATTGATATTGTCATCATAGGTCAAAAAAACCACTCACCCGTCCTCTATCATTCAGATGTGCGTCGTTTCGGTTCTGGAAAGTACAAATGAAAATGAGAATACAGTATAAACATCGTGACTTGGATATTATATGAATTCAATTACTTTGGAAAGGGGATAATTTAAGCTCAAGCAAACTTTTTTATTCGTTTTTCGTTGCCGAGGGGAAACACAATTTTATTTTTACTCATTAATAAAGTTATTTACATCTGCTGAATCAATCGTTGAACTTTGGGATTGAGAGTTCCAGGTACACACTGGAAAAGTACCGGAGTTCTTATCGTTTTTTAAAAATTATTTTGCCCTTTTTTTGAGTGAGACCTATGGTAGAAAATATTCAGATATTAATCTAGCTGTCGGTGGGTGGTTGTTCACTGCGAAATTTCCGAATGGAAAATTACAATGATCTACTCTCAGTTGCCCTCCAACTGGGGACTTCCTGGAAGAGCCGAAGTCCATTGTGAAATAAACTTTTATATTTCGAGTTTTGATAAACCTGATTGCATTCTTAACAAGTCCCTGATGGATCATTCGACGACACACTGCGATGGGAATGATATTTAGGATCGAGTTTACCAGACATTAAAGATTAATTTCCAAAAATTTGATGATTTTTTATGTATATTTACACTGAGAAAAAATATTATTTTTGCCAAGAATATTTTCTTCCCACCAGTAAATCTGGCGATCACGGTGTAAATACTCCCATAAGACTTAATAATGCCAAATATATTTTCTTGTGGTTAGTATTTACTCAATATTCTTGGCTAAAGAAAATTTTTTTCTCAGTGTATGACAAATCAAAAATAGTAAAAAACGCGAAATCACAAAAAACTTTTTTTTTCAGTAAAAAATTGCGCTGTTTTTTTTTACAATAACCAAAGAATACCTGTAGCATAACGTAAATATTTTGAAAATAATTTTTCAGAGTATTTTAGATCTGTTAAAACTTTTTTATCAAAAAATTCATTCCTGTAAAACGTAAATTGAAAAAAAAATCATTCCTCATTGTTATTCCGCTCATTTCAATGTAAATTCAATTAGAAAAAAAAATCTCAGCCTCTCCAAAACTGGCAGTCCGTGGCTATTCCAAATAATTTAAACATCTACGAAGTAAACCATCGATAAACAATGATGTTTTTTGCAACAATTATCCTCTCATAACCAATAACAGTAGTCTCCATTTAAAAAAGTCATTAGATCCGCTTCATAATTGGCAAACGACCACAATTGTCGTCATTGGAATTGAACCTGGGAATTAGTGAAAGATCCCAGGAAAACCGGATAAATCATCACAATTGAATAATAAGGAATGTTTGCCAGTTGATTGAAGAGGTGTTTGATGATTCAAGGTAAGTACCCAAACTCCAGAAAGTTCTGTGATTATCGCGGGAAAACACCTACAAACATCAATGAAGGTGCAAAGTTCAACTGCGTACCGGTTATTTCTTCGATTTTTCATTCCTCCGTTCTCCTCTAGTTCTTTCCGTGTGTTTTGTGTTCATACATTATGCTAAACCACTAATACACTCGTCAGCATAATTATTGCTAGTCAAATCGAGTCATAATCGATTATTGTTCAACAACCTTGAGGATCATTACTGTAATTAATTGACGCGTTCATATAAACGATCCAATTGTTTATTTTTTTGTTTCTATTTTTCTGGAAAATCTGATCGGATTATTCAATTACTGGTGCAATAGTGGACTTCAATTTCAAAGGAAATGTTGGATGAAAATTATTGTGAAATTATAAAGTAAGGTGTATTGTTTCCTTGTAGCCAAAATTAACGGTTTTTTTGTTTTCTTACCAAGTGTTGACCGGATTGATACGAAAAAATACACAATTTTGTATTTCAATATTATTTTATAACGCACGAAGTTTCATGAACGTATAATAATTCTTCTGTGTTTTTTTACAGTTTTATGAATTTTTTGAAAAGTTGGGAAAGAACGCAGGAAAATTATTGCAGAATCATGAAATTTGGGGCGTCATTGAATAATTTATTAGAAAATTTTAAAAAGCTGGAATTCCGGCTGTAATGGCATGGACCATTCTCAAGTGTCCAGAGAAAAATTAAAAATCGAAATAAACATATGAAAATAAGAATAAAAGTCTGGAATGAAATATAAAAAATTCAGGTGTATTTTTTGCGGTGAATTAAATTCTCCTGAAAATAAAAAATGAAAATGAAAATTTCCCTTTGAATTTTCCGGATTGATTCCGAAAATTTCTGAAAGTTGCACTCGATGTCCACTGAAATTTCCTTGTTGGAGAATAGAAATAAATTTTGTTCCGGAATATTCATGTTTTGTTGAGAATTTAATCGAATTATGCAATTTTTATTTCACTCGTGCTCAAAACTCATGAATTTCCTTCAATTCTATACAAAAATTTTCAACATTAGTCATTCCCTAAATTCGATTCAATGATTTTTCATAAGATTGTCATATTTTTAATGAAAGTAAAAAATTAACAAACGCACGTTAAGTAAATTAAGACAAAGAAGTACTTAAAAAAATTACTAGACACAAAATTAATAAATAATTTAAATATTTTTCTCGTTAAAGACCGATTTTATCCACTGACATTTCAAGAACATTTCAAGTGATTAAATGAGCTGTCAGTTATTAAGAATTAAGAGTAACACAAATATATAAATAATAAACGCATATAACCATAAAATAAACATTACGATTCTTGACAATTGTGAAACACATGAGATAATTGCAGATTTGTCATTAGTTTTTTTCCTTCGTCACCGAAGATCTGGTTGTAATGAGTAGATGCATTTATCTTCACGTGAATTCCCAGAGAGAAGTTTCCACATACGAGGGGCTAGAATTACTCACGAGGGAAACAACAATAAATCGTTGGAAAAAACCGATTCTTCATCGATCGTAATCATTTAATTTAGTGTACAACTCGTAGATATGCACGCGGAAATATTACTGCTATGGTTACTTAGCAGAAATAAATATTTCATTAAAATCCCCACATGAATAATTCGGAATAATAATAAAAAAACTGTAATGCACTGGATGATGAGATCCGATCTCTCGATAAACTATGTTCGCTCTTTCGAATAATTTTTTTATTTAACAATTTTATACTCTCTATTCCGACAATTGTGTAGTGACAGCAAATGATACCAGAGAAAGATGATGGAATCTGTATCAAGAGGGCATTCTCTTTCATTTTTAGTTTTGTCCTTGAGGTTGTCCAAGGTAAGTAACTTGTAATCAAAGAGTAAAGAATTTCACAAACATATTGAAATATATTTTTACTTTGATTCTTACTCCACAATTCCGGGAATGAAAGAGAATTGGGCCATTTTTTTGGAATCCGCTGTTCGATTTTTAGAAATCCTAAATACTAATTATTTTTAGTTACGGTGGTATAAAATTCAAACAATGGAAAAACCGGTTTTCTCAGCCTCTGTCTGAGATTCATTACTCTCTATGATTTTTCGCAGTCATGATCACATTTTTTCTGCAATTGTAATTTCGGATAATTTTAGCTACACGTGATTTTCTGATGGAAATGTCAAGACGAAGGAGAATTTCAATGTCTTCCAGTGGCATATTAAAGGTCATTAGATAAATTATTGATACCTAAAGAACTGGAAAATTGTTTTTTTCTCCTAATCAGTATATTATTTATAATGAATTAGCGATTTCCTTCCGTGTAGATGTATTTTTCACGTTTATTTCACAATTATTTCTTTTTCGTTTTTCCTTTTTTTTTATATCACAATTGTTAAAAATATGAACTGTCATTCAATTAGGGTTCGACCCTGATTAAACTTTAGTTTCAGGAATAGTTTATAGCGTTAGTTTATAATCAGGATTTCGTTAGAACTATGAATTATTATTAATTTAATTAATGAGTATCTGAATTGAGTTGAAATAAATCCATATTTATGAAAAAAAAAATGATATGAGCACTTTAACTAGTGTCGCAGGAGATTAAATAATTTTTGATGAGATACGTAACAAGTAGATTCCAGAATTAAATAGTTATGAAGACTTTCATGTAAAAATCCATCACGTCAATGTAATTTTCAAGTTAATTGGTAGATGTTGATGGTAATTCTGTCGTTTATTCACAATTGACGCCAATGAATATCTGAATCTAGTCGAAATTTTATGACTGAAAAACGTAAATGATATTAGCACTTTGACCAGTGCCACAGGAGATCAAATAATTTTTGCTGAGACGTAACAAATAGATTCCAGAATTAAATAGAGATTAAGATTCTCATGGAAAAACCCATGACATCAGTGTATAATCTTCAAAGTGTAAATCTCCCAGTAATTTAAAATTCACGTCTATTTTTGAAACGTTGAGAAAAAATATTACTTTTGCCAAGTCAATTAAGTTGGCAGAAGTAAATTAATTTACAAAAAAAATTTGATGTCAGTGCACTGCATACAACTTCCATATTGAAAATAAAAGTATTGGAAACCTACGAATTGTTTTTAAAAAATGGAGAAAAATGATTGGAAAAGAAGAAAAAATGGAGTACGTAATAAATTGACTGGTTACAAGTAAATAAATTTGAATTACGATGTTCGATTACAAGTTTTTCAATAAAATTACCTACTACAAAAAAATATAAATATAATAGAATAAAATAAATAAAACTCAAAGGACCCAGAGCAACGAAAAAGAAATCTGGGGAAAACAAGTGGAAGATGCAATGCAAAAGACTTCTTGGGCTTGTCCTTGACGCGAAGTGAATTTGTCCAAGTGCTCTAGCCTGGAATTGCAAGAATGCAGTTGAATGTGAATAAACTCCGGAGAGAGAAGGCCAAATATCTAGAAAGATCGACGATGGCCTACGTCAAAGAATAGATCCGGTGAAAAAATAAATAAAAAGAAAAAAATAAATCGATCGATCATTCCGTCGATTCAGTGAATGAATAACGGAATGCGACCGCGCGTGAACCCGTGAACTTGAAGAATTAATGGAGAATTCGACAAGTGCGTAAAGAGAAAATTTAGTGGATATTGTAGTCAAGGTAATTCTCATCCTTATTATCCCTTCCTCAATTATTTCTCTCGATTGACAAGTTGAAAAATCATAGCAAACGTCGGGTAAACGTCAACTTTCGATGGTATCAAGAGGGAAATTCCCTCAGGTGGGGAACCGAGGGTACAGGTGTCATACTAAGACGATAAAAGCCACCGTCTCACCGTTCAAAAGCCAGTTGGTTGCCGGACTTCGTAACAATTACACTAAATCAACAACAATACTGGATTTTCAATATTTTTCCTGGTGATTAGCCGCTGGACGGTGACACCAAACGGTCTATTAAATTTTTAAACAATCCGATCTAACAGAAACTAGTGAAGCACTTGTGAATTCGATATTATCCCTTTTTAGGATTTTTATTGAATAGTAATAATTAAATCTGTGAAGGCATTACCGTTAATTCTGTGAAAATAGCGTAATCACTAAGTTAAGGTGAGTTGAATGTGGGCTTTTTTAATTATTCAATCAATTTATTCATTTTTTTTCCATTTTTTAAACTTCTCCGACAAATTGCGGACTCTTGGCATTACAGACATGTTGACAGGTTACAAAATTATTGCTATTGTTTAAACTGTCACAAACCGTGAATAGTAATGCGGATAATTTCATGGCGTAAAGTGTCATTATCGGCACGTGTTCAACGCCATTGCTTTTCATTGTCTGAGACATTGTGAGACATTTGGTGATGACAGTGGATCGTGTCTGGTATTTAACGTTCAATTTTACACCGAGTATTTCAATTATTTCTAATACTCACTCAATAAATTCAAAGTGTCGTACATTTTTTCTCGTTTTTTTTTTATGATTTTGATTCAATTTTTATGTTCGATGTTGTAATCGCTGTTCCACCTAGTGGAAAATGCATCGAGCGATGATAATGTACAAAAATTACACAATACCATTTACAACCATCGATGACGAATTACAAAATTATTGGAAAAAAATAAAGCCAACCGTTGATTAGAATTCAAGATTATTCTCTTCTTCAATGTGACTCATTGTTCAGAACGATTAAATCCATTAATAATTGAAATTATGTCAATCAATTCCGTTGTTTTCATGAATTCCAATTGAATTTATTCAATATTATGTGACTAGAACGGCTAATATCGATTGAAAAAAAAACCCTTGACCTTGGGATGGACTTTTTATATTGAAAAAAAAAATTGAAGGTCCTAGGGCCCTAAAACAAGAAAAGAAGGGAAATGAACGAAAGGAAAATCCCAGACATGTAAAACCGGATTTCTTTAAAGCTCTTTGTCCTGGGAATTCCCTAGTTCTTTGTTTACATCGTATTCACCTCAAACCTTGTAATTCATTCTCAGCGAAGAAGCAATGAGAATGAAGAAATTTTGCAATTAAACTGATTGACCGCGTAAAAACGAGTTGTTGGAAGATGAAGCGTTCGTCAATAATCGTGAAAACCGGATTATTTGCCGACAGCGATGAAGCGGATAATTTATTTTTTACCAATTTCTCGCCCAACTTTTCATTTTTTTCAATACAAAGTGTAAAACGGGTTTACATTTTTTCTTCGTCTCGCGATATGAGGGCGACTTTTCCTTTCAGCTACCCGAGATTACGAAATAATTGTGGGGAATAGAACAGCTCTTCTAAGTATTCAAGCAAGACAAGTTATGGGGCGAGATATCTAGGGTTCGGGTATTTGTTTTCTCTCCTTTTTCTGAATTAACTTGTATGGATAGCCTCGGATTAAGAAAAGCCGGTTCGTAGACCTTCGCCAATGGTTTCAACCTAGATCTAGAGAACCTTCGTCTTGTGACGAAATATATCATGCTAATGTCATTCCCAAGAAGATGTTTAACATTATTCGTTGTCAAATGGGATTACAATTCGATTACGAAATTATCGACTAGCAAAAATGGATTTTTTTCGAAAAATTCTATTTTGAAAAATTGGCTAGAGTTTTCAGTCGATTTTTCAGAATAGAAGGAAGAGAATGATATTTTCATAGACATCATCGTCGTAGCTCTGATCTTTTCCTATGAAAAATGTCCAATCAAAAATTGCCTAGCTTTCTTCATTTCTGAGATATTTGTTAAGATTTAAAAAATTTAAATCTTCGTTAAGACCCGGATGGACTGTCTGTAAAAGATCATTTACTCCAAAATTGGGACTTCTAATTACTCCGTCAATTAATTGTTTTTTCCGATAATTGTTAGCTAGCGGCCTAGTTGTTGACAACCGCTAGAACGCTAGCTAAAAATTATTGAAAAAAACGATTAATCGCCAAAGTAATTAGGAATCCGAATTTCGGAGTAAATCTTTTCTAGATAATCCACCCGAGCCTTAAGGATGTTCCACATCTACGTACAGCCAAAATTCACGCTTTCTGGATTTTTGGACTAATTACCGATGGGATCGATGTGAAAAAATATAACGTTCTTACATTTTATCATTATTTAATGGCTCACGAAGTTTTGTGGTGTTGCCATCATCGTCAAGTATTTTCTCTATAATTTTGTGATACTTTTTAAAAGTTTAAAAAAGATGCAGAAAAATGTTCACATCACGTTGAAACTCCGTGATCCATTGCATAATAACAAAACGCAAAAACAAACGACAAAAACACGACAAAACTAAAAATGAAAAAAAACCTTAATTTTCGATATATATGGGTGTAGATGATCTTTAAACGAAATCCGTCATCATTGACAATTTCCAAGCTGCATAAGTGACCTCTCATTCAGACCTTTCCATGATCTACCCTAATCTCGATAAAATAAAAAAGAATTGTCGTAAAAAATCGTCATCTGGCGGTTCTCCCAAATTGCAAAGCATTTAGTCTAAATTAATAATAAAATAGTCAAATTTTTATTTGTTCAATTTATTTTTCCAGATGGCGACGTTAATAGCAACATTGAGTGAAAACTATCGTGACCTGATGGATAACAAGAGTGATCCTAGAGTGAATGATTGGCCCTTGATGAGTGGTCCACTTCCAACATTCCTCATCTGCATATTCTACGCATATTTTGTTAAAGTACTCGGACCAAAATTAATGGAGAATCGCAAACCATTTGGTCTCCGGAGAGTAATGATAGGCTACAATTTATTTCAAGTTATATTCTCAACTTGGCTGTTTTACGAGGTAATTCTATTGGCTATTTACAACTATTTCTCAATTCATAGCACTGTTCCAAATGCCAGCCTTATCTCTCATTTTTCCAGCAGTGATAATTTTTTTTTAATGTTTATTAGAGCCTGGCTTCTGGCTGGTGGAACGATTATTCATTCAGGTGTCAGCCAGTTGATTACTCCAAGAGTCCAAAAGCCATGAGAATGGCAGGTGGCTGTTGGTGGTACTTTATATCAAAATTCACTGAATTCTTGGATACAATTTTCTTCTTGCTGAGGAAGAAGAACGATCATATCTCCACTCTTCACGTCATTCATCATGGGATCATGCCAATGTCCACTTGGTTTGGAGTTAAATTTACTCCAGGTATGCATAAACTTCACAAAAATTCATACACTCTCAAAAAAAGCGTCGACTGAAGGTTCTTCATTGAAATTTCCAACGAACGTATTTTCACTACCAGCCAAAAAAATTCTGAATCTTTTTTCAATTATCAATTCACGCCATATAAACGATCACTTCTCTTTCGCTAATTGTACCTTCAATCGATTATGTACTTGGATCAATAGGGAACTAAATAATAGGTGAACTATATTCAAGTATGTGAATACTTTGATCAAGGGACGTCATTGACTCGAGTCACTTTGAACTCCAAAGGAAAATAAATATTGAATGACGATTAATCGCGTAAATACTTGATCAACGCTTTTTTGTTGTGATTGTAAAATTTCCTCGTCTTGCATACCTCTTACTTTCTGATGAAATATCCATTTGCGGTTTAGTAATAAAAGCCTGTCAAAACCAAACCATCACGAGGCATTCTAGCGTCATGATGGAAAACGTTCGATTTTTCCTATTTTCAAACCGCAGTGATTGAATTTGTTATTCTTGTTGTAATATGTGAATTATTCTGCAGGCGGCCATTCGACATTCTTCGGTCTTCTCAATACTTTCGTGCACATTGTCATGTACGGCTACTACCTTTTGGCAGCACTCGGGCCAAAAGTCCAGCCGTACTTATGGTGGAAGAAGTACCTCACAACCCTCCAAATGGTACAATTTGTTCTGGTGTTCCTTCACACCTTCCAATTGCTCTTCATCGAGTGCAATTATCCGAAGGCATTCGTGTGGTGGATCGGCCTGCACGCTGTTCTCTTCTTCTTCCTCTTCAGGGATTTCTACGTCAGGGCTTACACCAAGAGGCAAGGAAAGATGGCATCAGTGAAATCAGAGAAATTGCAGAATGGAAATGCTCATGGAAGTGGAAATGTTCCCAGTGAAAATGGATCTGCTTATCCCAATGAGTACAAAATAGCCACTGGTTACATCAGTGACAATGGCTTAAGGAACCGCGTCTTCATTAGTAATCGTAATTTTCAGGAGTAATGAGTTGTTTATTATTAAGTGACATTCTTCCAATGATCCTCTCCGGTGCGAGGGGGTGCGAAGGGGTGCGAAGGGATGGCGAGGAATAATCCAGTTTTGTTTCATATGGAATTGTTCTTTCTTCACGTAATTACGAAATGAGGAACAATTTACTCATGTCATTATTGATTACATCACTGAGAAAAAAAAGTGTCGATAACACGCGTCCGTTCTTGATTGAAATTTGTAACTGTTTTATTTGCGGTGGTAATCAATCTGATTCTTCAATCAATCTGATTCTTCGATCAATCTGATTCTTCAATCAATCTGATTCTTCGATCAATCTGATTCTTCAATCAATCGTTTCACGAAATCGCCAATTCAGCGAGCTAATCGTTCATATGTCTCTCGAAAATTCTATTCGCAATTGAATCTAGAATTAAATCAATTATGCGCGTACTTGAATCAAGTAGATGCAGATTTGAATCGCGCGAACGAGAGAGTACGAAAACTATTAAATATTACTATAAAAATTGAGCGGAAAGCCTCAGATGGGCGGAATATTTATTGATTAAACGCAAATATATTCGGGTGAAAAATGCAATATATCGGATATATTTCACATGTAATTATTAGTTAGTAATTTTTTAATCTTTTTTTTCGGTAGTTTTATTAAACGGACACTTGGTTTAGTCATTTCGGACCTGAGTCGCGAAAAAACGGATGAGTGATCAATTCGGTAAATACTTGATCGACGCTTTTTTCTCAGTGCAGTCTACTGAAGATGTGCTTCATTTAATTACCTTACATGAATCAGTAGTGAGATTGCTAAAGGATTGGAATCAACCATTTATAATTCGCCAATTGATGATACATCGGCCCGAATTGAATCGTTTTGCTGTTTTTCAACTGATGTTTCTTCACAATTTTTTTTTATACAGATGATACATCGATATTCACACGATATTCACCAGCATCGTGCATTTGATTGAGCATGTGTGATTGTACGTGAGTTTTGCTCACTTGTTTCGGTTGTTATACTCTGAATATTATGAATCGGAATTCGCGAGATGTTTACAACTCGAGAATTTTCCAAGCGAATGCAGCAGAAACGAGTGTTTTCTATACATTGAGATGAGAATTTAAAGACTTTACTAATTAGAAATCGGTGATGCTATTATAATTGTTAGGGTCTAGCTTTTTCGATGCTCATTCTCTGGTCTGACAGAATAACAAATATAATTCACTCATTTTTTTACTAGGAAATTGTGGGAATTGAGGGAATGTCTGAGTGCGTGTTACGTCGTTGAAGAATTTTCATGTTCATGTTCATTCGTTATTGTTTAATGATAAATTATGAGGTAATTATTGAGATGATTCATGAATCTCGGAGAAATCCGATAAGGGCGTCCCGAATCGGGTGCGTTCTGTATTTTGTGTAATAGATTACAATTATTATCGAGCAATTACTCTTTTTGTACTTTAGCCTTCTCTTAGATTAAATGTATATTTATGAAAATACATGTGTATTTTGAAAGCCAATGTTTAATACATTTATTTTAAATTCAAACGTTTCTCTCTATTTTCGCAGGAAATTATCCCTTGGAAATGTTTAAATTATTCTTCATCTTATCGAGTGATGATAACGAGGAATTGTCCTAGTCGATAAAAAATCGCGGAGACAACGGAACAAATATCAGCTGTGAGTAAAGATGATTTGAGGGTCTGAAAATGTTTGAAATTAGGCGCCAGATGAGAGTAATTTGATAGTAATCGCTTTTTGGAATTCATGATTTGAGGGATTGGTTGGGCTTTCACAGGATAAATGGGAAAATAATTACGGGAGTTACTGAAGGGATTGTTAAAAATATTTATATTCATACGATCTCACCAGGGACTGAAAACCATTGGTGAAAGTGGCCATGAGCCTCAGTCCCGGTTGATTAAAAGTATTGAGTCAGATAATAGATCCACTCTCAAAATCAAAATGCATGACCGTGACAAATAGATTAATTTCAACAATCGACTGTTATTTTTCGTATTTCTGGATTGAACTTGTCGATTCTCGCGCTTTCAATTTCATTTGTAAACGGGAATTTTACGAATAAATATCCATAATTAGCGGTGATTCTCATTATGATGCAGAAAAAACATGGGTATCAAAAGTTCAAGTTTTCCATTTTCCGGTTTTAATTTTCCTCCTATTGTGGTGTTCATAAGTCAAATAGCGAGGTATTCCTTAATTAATTGATTCAAAAAAAAACGTCAGAGTGATTATTGATTTACTGGAATTATTTATTCTTTTTGGCGTTTTATTTCCAATTGAAAAATTGTCCAAACGCAGAATATTTCGTGGAATTGTTCGACCTCTGATGTGGGATGTGACGTTAACATTGTTATATTAGCTTTTACAATCGCCTCGGGGTATTGACAGGATGGAGTAATAATTTATACACTGGTTTATTTAAAAAATCAGTTATCGTCAACACTCGATCGTTGCATGTCTATTGTTCTTAGATCTACCGAAGGAGAATTAAATTTTCTTTCGAATTTTCAGATGGTTATCATAATACGAGTGTTATCATTCACGATATATGACTCGGTAATCATTGGTATATTATCCGGGTTCAGAATTCAAGGATGGATATCTCAATTCCTCTTGTCATTTCAAAATTGTGGGTACAGACTTCAGGTGCAACGTGTCAAAGAATAATTTCAAGTGTCAGTTCTGATTTAGTTATTCAATTGTGCTCTTTCCATCTAACAAATTCCAATAATGACAATTGAATGGTCATAGGATAAACAGAATTTTAATATTATTTAAAAAATAATTGATTCTTTCGATTAACTAATTTTTCAAATAATCGCTCGATTTTCTTTTAATTTGATAATTTTTAAGGTGGACACACGATTTTTTAATTTTAACCAAATTTAATTCTCGAACATTGAATTTAAATTTAAATGACATTTTTCATTAAATGTTTATTGTATTATACTCAGAGCCTTTCGTTTATGAAATTCCAATTACATCAGTCGAATAATTACGTGATTCAGACAAATTTATTATAATTAAAGAAATGATTTATCCTTTCGATTAATCGATATTGTAAATGATTCTTCACTCCATTATTTTCACTTTCCATTTTTACTTGAGTTTGGGTAATTTTTCCCGGTAGAAAAGCGATTTCTCAATTGGTTATAGATAATTCATCGATATGCAAGCCTTTAACGAGCCTTGAATTTCTGTTAACCATTCAGTTACTAGTCTGTTTACTCTACACTACTGATTATCTTATCTTCCGGTTTTTCATAATTATAGGATTTTTGAAAATAGCAAACTCCATCCCAGGGTCATTATGTAAATAAACACAGGAGCTCATCAATTATTAGACAATGACATATTGAAGAAGACTATTGAATATGGAAAAACGTCAACAGTCAAAAGATGACATTAGAATCTAATGATTAGATGGATAATCTGGGAGGGGGAGGAGATGACAGTGGGATTTTGATCAGAAATTTGCATTTTTTGAGGGAAATAGATTTTTCATTTGCACAAACGAGTGGCTGCCAGCATCCGCATATTCGGGCCAGAGGAAAATATAAAAGGTAGGGTAAAAGTATGAAGGGTAGGGGAGAGGGCACTTTCGCTGACCGCTGAGGAATCGAGACTCCTTCTGTCATACCTTGCATAAGCCATCGCGCAAGGCCTGTTACGCGTCAAGACTTTTCTGTTCTCGACACGGAAAAAATGTACTTCAATCCAGTATATTCCATACTTGAGTATACTTGAATCTCTCGATGCTTTAATGTCTTCTCATTTTTCAAGTTTTATACGAATTTCTGAGAAGCGGTTTCAATTTTTTATTATTATTCAATGTCTCATTAAGTTTCGTCACCATTAATTCTCCCGGGATTCCCCGAATTTTCAAAAAAAATTTGGAGAATCAACTTACGACTTATGAATTTTTCAGTAGCGAAGTGATAAACTAGGAAAGTGCATTTTTTTTAGACGTTTTCAGCCGATATCTCAAAATCGAAGGAACATAAACAATTTTTGGATAAACATTTTTTATAGAAAAAGGGGAGAGTTACAAAAAAGGTGTTTATGAAAATTTCACTATCTTCTTTCTATTTCGAGAAATTGGCGGAAAACTCCCCGCGAAAAATATTCATTTATCTTATTTCACTACTTTGTAACAGATTTGTGAGTCATTAAATAATAATAATATCAAGAAATATTTTCGCAAGTCAATCTGATCCACGGTTTTCCAGGATATCAACTATAACTCCTTAATTCCTCTAGCACAAGTAATTCTTTTCTCAATAATTATATTCAGAGATTTAATTAATAAATACGGGAACGATAATCAGATGATAAATTAAGGTAATTACAATTATATTAAAATTGAATTTAGAAAAAATATTATAGTTAAAGTAAATATAAAATATATTCGATTCTATCGTTTATCGGTTATTTTTTTTTTCGTGACTATTCGCTTTTGCCGTAAATTCTCCGGTAGACTATTTTCTAATGCATGGATTACTGATCACGCTTAATTAAAACATCATTCTGACTGCTCCATTACACCTAATTAAAATTACGACACTCCATCCGAGAAAAAATATCACTCGCTACATTCATAAAGTTATTCAGATAATTCCAAATAAAAAATTTTTAAGTTGTTATCATTGAATTTTCATCAATGCTATCAATTTCCTAATGTATGTGGACGTTTGAATGATTTTGACGTTGAGAAATTTTTCAATTTGACCGAACATTCCTGAAAGCCATGAAAATTCATGAAACTTTTCACTTTTCACCTGAATTTCTAATCATTCGAACAATTGAACAAATGCCCTGTTTAATTTTTATGGAGGATTTTCCTATACAAATTCTGATTGGGAATTCAATAATTATTCATCACGGAAAACTTTATTGTCATAGGAATTTATCATCGATAATGAACGAATTAAATAACATAAATTCTAGTATGAAGTATAATTAATTCTCTGAAGAAAAACCGTATTGCAAATTCGAGAAAATTTTTTTCACATATTTCGAATACGAATTTATTCTGATTTTTTATAAACACCAAGAATGCAATTTCCTGCGAACGTTGATAAAAAAATGCCTCAGTTTGCAAATGCGATTGACGAGGTAATTTGACTCAATTACAAATGAATTACGACTTGTATCATCATTCGTAAATTGTAAAATAATTGTTCATGGGAGTGCAAATGCCATTAAAATTGTAACATTGCCGTCACAATTCTTTAAATTTTTCAAAAACATCTTCAGCGCGTAATGAGAGAAATTCTCAGAAAATGCATTCACCGACTGATCCCTGAAATTCCAGAAATTCAGCGTAATTTCCTGAGTAAATACTATTAATCGAGAAATTATCAGATGATGAACAGAAAAAACGAAACTTAAATATATAAATTGATGATATAAAATCCTCCAATCACTCAGGACTTTATTATAAAAAAAACTGAAGTCATGAAGATCATCTGTACGACGTAGATGAATTTTTAATAAAAACCGTGTGACGTCGTTACGCGCAAAACTGCTATTTGAAAGCACTTCGCGTTAATTGTCTTACGAACGACAATTCACACGGTATTTCCAATTCAAATATTCATTAACACTGAAATTCTGGATTCGATGATAAAACAAAAAATACCGAAACGGTCTATCGTATGAATGACAAACTCTGAGAATCTCAATTGGACTCTAGTCCAATTCTATTTTCTACAGAGAATGTAAAAAGAGTGGAAGATATTCGCTTACCCGATTGAAATTCAAATCATCGAGACACCACATCATCCCCCAGCGAGCAAAAAGCTTGATCTCTTTGCATTATTTCTATATATATGTCAATTACCTGGCAACACTTTGAACTCAAAAATCCACGTGGTATCCTTGAAGTTCGAACCGGTGACGATGGATGTTTGACGTACCTAAACACCGAGGGCTCATCTGGAATGTAAATAAAACCACCGGTGAATACCACAAAAATTGAAGTAATCGACACAGTAGAATAAATAAACTTACCCCAAAAATTCTCACGAATATCTTCATCCAATGAAGTGCTAAACAGTTTGTTCCACTAGACCTCCACAAAGGTTCCAAGGACGCTGCCTTCCAACCGTTGGCATAATTAAAAAATCAATCAACACCTGACTGTTTGATCCTCGTTTGCCAATAAATGACACAAACGGTAAATAAAAAGAGGTGGAAACTAAAAGTTGGAGAGGGGATCGGCAGTTTGCACGAAAATCTCTGGCGGAGTCTTGAGCACGACAGATCCCACTGGAATACAGAGAACGTCAGTTCTATCCCTGAAACAACAGGGAACTCCATTTATCTCAATACCAATAATCCATTATTCCAATGACAATTATTTAACTTACCCCCCAGTTCTCCAAGTGTTCCACACTCAAAAAATTTAAAAACAAAACTAGTGAACAGTTTTTACTTTTAAGTGGAAATCAAAGGGTTAGTAAACTTCATTACATTCTTATTATTTTATACTTCTCAATATTTTCTATATACGCAGAATAAACAGAAGTAGAATTAACAGGATGGATTGGAAAGGTTGAATGATTTGAAAAATAAAATGATGATTGAAGTGCTTATAGGATTGACGAATCAGATGAATCCGTTTGGAGCAGTTTGAAATAATAATTTTTTAAATAACAAAAAAACCAACGGTCGGTCAAAAAAAGCTGCGGGATTGAAAGGCAGGGGTTGAATTTCGGAAAAATCCCGTGAAAGCGCTGTTGTTGCTCATAAGCGCGGTGATATTAACATTTGGCCATTTGTAGCGTCGTCCAGTCGGATTAGAGAATCAAACTGGGGCTGTGCCATTGCCCGGGTCTCTGCATACCCCTCGATCACCCCAATTATCTGTTAAAAAAACTACAAAACCAACCAATTGTGATTATTTCTACCCTCAATAACGAAATAACGAGGGAATCCCACCGACCGAACCCAAAATACTGGCTTATGTGTGCTGATAGGTGACAGTGTGATAGAAAATTTATTTATCATTTTAGATTAATTTTTTATCGTGTCAAAAAGGTGCTGAAAAGTGTCGGGATTCAGCAAGTAAAATTACCGGTTGTTTGGTCAACAAATAGATAATAGATAAATAATCAGAGGGGAAAGAGGAAGCAGGTGGGTGTAGTCTACCCTAGCGCGTGGGTAAGTCATTATTTCTCACAATTAAATTCACCCAAATAATGAAAATTCAGTGACCATGTGTTTCCAATGCTTCGTGAGAAATTATTTCAGCTTTAAAATTGGCTTCCTCACAATAAAGAAATAGTTAATGAACTAAATAATCAGATATTGAGGTTAGAATGCCGCCAGGCACGATCGATTATGTATTGAGGATGGTACCGTCATTGTACCAATGGAATATCTATTTTTAATAATACCCCTCAATATTTTTCCTTTCCTTTCTCAAGTCATGTGGCATATATCACGATATATTTTACTGATGATTCTCCCCGAAATTACCCGGACTTCCCCCTGGGTTTCATTGATAATCAGTTGAGGCGGAGGGGCAGGTGTATGAGTCCTCTAACCTCTGAGTTTATTTTCAGCTCATGAAAAATAGTTTGATGTATTTATATTTGTCGGTAATGTAAGATCTATGATTCATGACAAGCCCTCATGCCGTCGTTTATAAGTAATGATGACACTCATTATCGGTTCTTATCGGACGTCTGTGATTCAATCAGGGGGAATGACAGCGGAATGCCGGCAGTTGGATAATTAGATGAATTAAAGATTTTCTAATTTTTCATTGATAAGATTAATTATCTTGTTCGTAATTGGTAATGAATTGTCCTCTGCTCTTTTTATGCCCTCGAAGCGCTTTGTTATTATTATATTTGTTGTAGTGACAGTTGTATAAGTTCAACAGTCCAGTGAATTACGACATGTTTTGAATTTCAATTGTGGAAGATTGAAGAATGTCGAGGGAGTTTACGGTATTGTCGACATTGTCACTTCGTGATTAACCTCGTGGCCTCGAAAACCATTTAGAATATGATAAGTTATTTTATTGGGATTTTTTATTTCTATCATTTGATTTTCTGGGAAATGATTTGTTTGGTTTGCATTGAAGTTGGGTGGAGCTGTCAACATAATGGGATTAGTATAGAATTGAGGGGTGGAGTCAGAGAGTCGTCATTTGGTGGGGTTTATTTAAAAAATCAAAGTGAACTTTATTTCTGGGGCTCGTTGTTTCAGGGATATTCAGGAAAATGTCTGTGCAATTTCCGGACTTGACATTTACAGTGATATTTGATGATTGAATCGGTGGATATTTTAATGAATCGATTGTCCTCGATTATCATACGATCATTACATAATTCAATGACCGTTATTGCTTGGTGAATAGTTTTCATCGGTGGTGTATTCAGTAATCGGTCGATTGATTCAGACTGTAACTTTCACCCGAATTATTTTAGTAGTTTGAAGTGATGATTTTTAATGGTCTCATTGATATTATAATATCAGATACTTTGGTGTTTGAGAAATCAAAATTGCGGGTGGTATCGGATTTCACGTGAATGTGCAGAATGCGGTGAATTATATTTAGACAGGGCTGAATTTTGCCATTTAAATTTCACGATTTAATCGTGAAATATTTAACAATAAATTGCTGGAGTGCTGTGACTTTCACTCGGGGATTATTCGATATGCTAAATTATTGCGAATGCTCCAATTAACGGTGAAACCGTGAAAATTACTGACGTATGGTGAGACCTTCGTTAAGACCCGATTTGTTGATAAATGGTGTACCAATCGATAAATCGATATTTAATTGTATCATTTGCCGATGATCGACCAGTTGTCTGGGCACGTGGGTGATGTGATGATATTGTGACGTAATTACGATGAGTAATCCCGGAAAGACCGCGTGTCTGGGCAGGCCGTCAGTGCTATCAGTGCAAGAGATAGTATTCATTCTCCTTATCAATTACAAGGAATCATTACCATCCAAATGATATTTTCGTGTTGATGAAAATCAATGGCGCGAATAGCCACGTCGTCGCGTCAAGATTAGAAATAGACGGGAGTAATGAGAATAAAAAATAGGGGCGGTTTCGCAGAGTCTATCTCATTATCGATCCCAATCGATTACTCATCGCGTGACTGGAAGAATTAACCATTACGGTACAGTTAGGATGAAAAATAAAATCTCACTGAATTTCTAAAACTCTATTTGCACTCGTATACAATTCAATTGTCACCCTTCAAACGAAATTGCGAGGAACGCATGGAATTTTACCAATACTATTACCGATTATGTTTGAGTAGTGGGGAGCATTTCTCTTACAGCAAACATCCGTCCTATACCGATTACCTCTTACGTTCGTTACGTAAAAATCAAAGGAGAGGCTGTGAGTCAAGTTGCCGTGAAAGAGAAAGAGGGAAAAGTTGAGGTGAAAAAAGGGAAAAATTTTTTCGTTTAAAAGAGGGAATAAAAAAAGAGAGAAGATCGGTAGTGACGACGAGAAAGTTACTAAACGCCTCAACCTGCTCGGTTGACGCTCCGGGCAAAATCGACTATTACACGCGTAAAGAGGTAACTGTGTACATACTCGTACACACGTTCATACACTCCACGGATCGATGGATATAGGCGACACAATGACTGGACTTATTGTCCGTACATAAAACTCACGACCTTCAAAATATTTTTTCACTCTTGCAGTTTCTTAAACTGTCAAGAAATCTTCGTGAGAATAATCTCTCGATATTGTCATTATCATGTGTTAAAAATTGTTTCCAACTTTTTATATCGTTTTTTATAATAATTTTGGCAAGAAATATCAAAGACTCTTTCGATATTCATTTTTGATCATTCCGCAAATCAATCGTCTTTGTAGACTTAGTGAATAACAATGATAAATGATAATAAAGAAAGAAAATTAAAATTCATGGCAACAATCTTGAAATTATTATCATATATAAAGAAAACTCTAAATTATTCATGAAATTAATTATTATCATGAAGTTAGGAATGCAAAATTATTAAAAATCATTGAAAAATATTTTTTATTCTGACAGTTGCTAAAGTATTGACCAACAAATCCAAAAATCAATAAATCCACAACTTTTTGGAATAAATCTCTTGGAATTGTTATTATCATGGCAAATTAAATTTCTTCCAATTATTCTAATGATTCTACATTTTCCATTGAAATAATTGGGAACTTCCGTAGTTATGGATCAATACTGATATTCAAATAACATTTCCATTGATGAGAGACAGCGGTAAAACTTAAAAGTCTGTGAGGAATTAAAATGGCTAAAAAATATTTTCGACTCGTGCAAGTCGACAACTCCGCGGAAATAATCCCTTGGAATTGTGTGTCGAGTGATGAAGGGAGTTTTATTTGACCTGATAATGAATTTTTTTGTGGCGAACAGACGGTGAAAATTCAAAGGATTAGGGTTGTTTAATATCTTTTCGGATCAGCTGTTGTCATTAGTCCTTAACACGAATCCTATAGGATTGACGTCTGAAATTTGACAAATGGGTTGTATTCCAATGTACGAGTCTATTTATTTCTGATGCTTAGGAAGACCCTCTTCGACCTACTTTTTTATATTGATATCATTGTGAATTCCAATAGTTACGAATCAATACTCATATTCAAATCGTATGTTCGATTGAAGGAAGAGCGCGGAACTTTAAAATTTTTGTGGAATTAGGGACTGAACGACTTACCAGACAGAAAAAAATATATTAAAAGTGTAAAATAAACATATATAAATGAATAAAACGTAAGAAAATTATATAATATACTTTTATTCTATTTATTCATTCCACATGATCCATCAGAATTGAATGAGAATTAGATATTGATTTGTTTAAAAAAACTATTAATTTTTAAAGAAAATATCTACACATCTTCCATTTTATAAATTTAATCAATTAATTCTTACTCATTATTCATTGATTAACCAAAACATTTGTTGAATGATCGGGTGAAACCGATTATGTTCATCATTGTTTTATTTATTTTAACTAATAAATAAATTCCTAGCTCTCACGAGAACTCACATTCGAGAAGAATTTTGTTTTTAAAAAATGCAATTGCGCGTTTGATTTTCAATTTATAAATTCAATCGAGCAATTACGAAACATTCCAACCGGAAAATTCATTCACTTTTCCCCTTCTTTCACACGAAATGTCTGTCGTCCTCATTCAATCGCAAGAATAATTATTGTATCGCAGTGCATTGAAGTGTTTACTATATTCGTTGAAGAAAACAAGAGGAGAAAAACATTGCTGGTTATATATTTACTTGCGATACTATCGTATCAGGCTGCCTTGTCGGACATTATATGCTCTGTTTAGCTTTACCACTGTGAGCTTACATAATATAACGCATAAGTATTTGTCTCAAAAGGATTATAGATTTTTTTTTTCTGTTCACAGGTGAATAATAGAGACGAAAATGACGACCATAGTAGCTAATTTGATACATGGGTACAGGGACCTCATGGACAACAAATCAGGTGAGTAAGTCATGATTTGTTAATGTTAATGGAAATTTAATGAAGTTAATGGAAAGGGAACAATAATTTGTTTATAGAAATCCTTTAAAAAAAATTGAAGCTCCGCGTGTATCAGCGTCCAGAATTATTCACCCCAGAAACTATATTCAGACTAAAATCTCCCAAAAAAAAAATTTGTTCGCTTTTTTTCATTTTGAGTCGTATAATCAGGCAATATGACTGTGAAAAGGTTGATTTTCGTCATTGCAGTAGCTTTGGTTATTTATGGGCCCTACTTGATGTGTGTGAGGAATTACGTATTCTATTAGCGGCAGGAGAGGGACTCTCTTTAAGCTATTTTTTTTTACTTGCGATTCAGTTGATCTATTTATTTTGTTTACTGTATTATTTGTTGTCGTTTAACTTTTGAACTGAAGATTATTCGAGATACATTATTCGAAAGTATTGGACAAGAAAGAAACATAGAGATTGAATATTTGTGTTGAGGAATTGGTTTTGGAACCATTAATGGTCTGCGAGATGACAGTCGTTCGTCAGCTATCGAACGTACAACTTCATTCATTTTTTTTGAATCTTCATTTTTGAAAAAAATGGAGATTTCGTCCGGCAGATTTTTTTAAAATTTTTTTATGAGATGATTTTGTCTGGCAGATTTTTATTTGAGGAGATAACTCCTAGAACCAAGATTCAATAACAAATACAATTGAATTTTCAATACATTGAAAATTCAAGGAAATTATTGTTTAAATCTTCGACATTTTCACGGGTTTTCCGTGTCATATGGACCTGAATAGTTATCAGAATATTCAAAAAATGAATTGATGCATCCGTGGAGAAGCCTGAAAAAATTTCATGTCACTTTATCATTGTTAAATTTCGAGTTTTTCAACTTGTAATTCCAATTTGTAATTTTCCAATAGTGCACTTATGGGCCCAAACGTCTTGGAGAAATTTAGCTTCCCTTTTTTGAATTTCATTGTTGTTTCGTAATGACTTTAAAATCCATTTTGTCTGCGAAAACTCATTCAATATTTATGGCTTCTAAAACACTAGATTAGTCATAAAACTAATTATTTAAATATGATGAAATGGATGGTAATTCTCGCAGACACTCAACGTAAATTATCGCCGGGAATCACCGAGAAATTTTGTCATTTTAGAAGTTTTACAGGGCTAGTAGGATACTTAAACGTAATCCAACTAATTTCAATGGTTTACATAATGAAATTTCTCGACTCTGACGTGTGGGGGCTCGTCGGCTATCCATCTTCCTAGGAATTTGATTGAAATTTATGGGGAAATTTACGCAGTCCATATCTAAAGATCTCATGGCATACATATGAATGACTTTTAGTCATTCAGTCTTGAGTTCATCTTCAGTCTTGGGACTTTGGCACTCGAATAAATTACACAAATTGAAATTATTAATACAGAGAGATATATTTTTCTGAAGTATATCACACTCGTGTCAAGAAACTTGTTTCTTGAAAATGATCAGGTGTGAAATGGTTTTGTGTCGAGTATAAGAATTAATAATCAGAGGAATAGCAGATTTTTTTCGGATTATACTGGAGATGAAAATTTAATTAAAGAGAAAACTAACTGGGGGAGAATCTATACGGGAGCGACTAATTGTTTTTTTTCTCTGATGGTACGCGAATTGGATTTTTGATTATTTTCTTCCTCTGCGAATTATTCTATTGGATAAATGATAATGATTATCGATCCACTAAGTCCCCACAAAAAAAAGAAAAGTAATTTTTTGGACAATTCACTTTGGGCTAAAAAACTAATTGACTCATCTTTCCGATCAATCTGAACATCCACATATTTTTTCTTGGGGCGAATCAATAATTCATCGGTCATTAATCAATTCGTGTCATCATCGTTAATTTATGATGATTAACTAATTATTTTTTTTATATATCTTGAAAGTTAATTGTACACTCATGTCCACATAGTTGAAAAAAGATGAATAATTCTGCGGTCAGTTGACTTTGAAGTAAAAACTGATAAATTCGTCTTTTGGATCAATCTGAACATCTACATATTTTTTCTTGGGACGAATAAATAATTCATCAATTCGATTTATCATCATTAGCGTGTGATGATTAACGAAATAAACGTCTTTTTAAATTGTCGGCTTGTCGGCTAATTGTGCATTCAGGTTTACATCGTTAAAAAAAAGAATAATAATTATTTAGTCAATTAAATGTGGAGTAAAAAACCGATTTGTCTCTTGGATCATTGTGGACATCTACATATTTTTTGGGGAAAGATAATTTTTCTTGCAGTGTGACAAAAGAAAAATTCAAGTGTCAGTGTATCACAGTTGGAAATCGAGCCTCGTGAAAGTAGCACGTGAACGATGTGTCGAGAAGGACCGAAAGAAATGAAAGAGCACGATTGGCGAATGCCAAATCGGAAGAAGCCGCTGTTACAGAGATGGTCATGCTCATTGCGCCATTGAAAATTCCATGTCAGTCGAACAAAACTGTGAAAAATAAAAAAAAAAACAATGCTAAAGAAAGAAAGATGAAACGTATTGATAATTAAAATCTGTCGCAATCACATAAACAAAGCAAAGTTTGTGGACATTTTTTTTCCTTCTATTGCTTTGCAATTTTTTTAATTGTTACGTTTTAATATCTAATTTGTCGTGTCAGGGTTACATTCAATCTATTTGTTCATTTTTCCTCGAATTTTTTTACAATTAATCTCATATCCGTCGGCGCCAATTAAAATATAATTTTTAACACAATT